TTTTACTCCTCTTTCGAAGATCGTCAAAAAGAGACCTCTAAATAAGATCCACTGACAAATAATTTGAGTACATTTGACCATTTGTTTTGTTAATAGTTTTTGTTTTCATATTTTTTCGTGTTTCCTGATTTGATCTTTTCCGGTAGCTGAAAGAGGTTTTGATAGTCTCTCTTAAAAGTTTTCTCAAACACAAAGTCCATGGAAAAAATACCATGCCTCCCAAAACTGGTCATAAATAAAGGAGGTCGCTACACAGAAGTAGTCGAAGTGGAAGTGTATGAATTATTAGATGGGAAACAGAATTTTTCTGGTGAATTTAGAAAGTTGCAGGTTTGAATACCAAACAAGTGTGGGCTCTAGTATGTGTATAAAGATGGAGAACAAAAATTTTTTTAAAATATAGATGAGAGGAAATATGATTAAAAAAAATAATAAAATATAAACACTATAAATTTCAGATTTAATATATTAACCTTTATAAATCGATTTGAAATATAGACAAGTACCCAATTATGCGTCAAGGTAATTCACCCCCGATCCAAGCACCCGATTATTTTGTTTGTTTTTCTTGGGGCAGTAGTTTGTATGGTTGTTTACGATAATATACCGCCAACCGCTGAAACTGCTCCCGCACTGACTGCATGGTAATGTCCCCCTGACGAGCCTGCCATGTATGTCAGTGCCTCCACTTGAATTTCGGTTTAGCGTTTTTCCTTTTTGATTTTTAGGATGTTAGGTTTCCTGTTAGAAACTTTTGAACATATCTGTTACTGTATTTTCTAGGTAATATTTAGTATGTTATTTCCTGTCAATGTTTTCCGGATTTTTCCTATTGTGGTAATCATTTCAGTTCTTTTATGAGGTTATCATTTACTTTGCTTAAAAAAATTTACTCAAATATTCTTCCAGTTATGACATGAGCTGCTTGACTCTATCGTAGCTTGGAATTATGTATTTTAAACTTTTTTTTCGTCAGTTTTCATTATTATTATATTTGTATCTTTATTTATTTTGTATGTATATTTATATTGTACGTATATTTATATATATGCTAGATTTGTGCTAGTTTTAAATCTTTGCACTCAAGAGGAAAATCTCAGTCCCACTGACCATTTAACCCACTCTAAATGTTGACATTTTTGTATATCAATGCTTTGGAGCCATTTCATATAGCGGCCACAATATCTAATGTAGAAGCGCCACTACCGAAGATTCTCGCTACCTGTGAACTCGATCAAAGTTGCTTTTTAGGAAGAGGGAACACTTTTAGTTAAATTTCTAACAGTTGGTGCAGTGATAAATCGATAAATTCTACTATAATAAAAACCTAATTCTTAGAATACTTACTAAAAATATCGAAGAAAATTCCTTTTATAGTACTTGGGCACCCAGGTTGCCTTTTACCACCATTTGGATAATAATCAACGTGCCCTATGGGTTTTTCTATACCAACACCACCGTACATCAAAAGATCAGCGTTTGTATGCACAACGTCTACAAATTCAGCATCATTCTTCGATAAGTGGACATTTTCGTCTTCATCTTCAAATAGAGGGCTGGCTGGATCTAAGCCTGAAATGTCAAAACAAATGTTACAAACCATGGTTTATGGCGTGTGATACGCTTAAATAAATTAATAGAAGAATAAGTAGAATTAATTGTATTTGAGCAACTTTGAAAAAATTAGTTTCAAATTAGTAGAAACATTGAAAAAATTACTGTTGAAAAATGCTTTGAAGACTTGGCAGTTTAAATTAATACTCCTTCTTAAATCTGAAAAGAACAAAATTTTCAAACTCCTACTTTTTAAACATCATTAATAGCTATGAAACGTTGGATCGTAAAAATTAACATCATTATTAACGCTTAAAGAAATTAAATGAAAAACAAGTAAAGAAACGCTTGAACAATTTGAAAAAAAGCACCTTAGAATTTATAGAAACATCGCAAAAAATTACTACTGAAAAGTGCTTTATTTTAAAACTGGACGGGATATATTAGCACTCATTTCTTAAATCTAAAAAGAAGAGATTTTTCAAATATATATTTTTTATACAGCTAGAAAATGTTCACTTTTTAAAACTAACATCAATATATTTATTATCATGTCCTTAATATTTTATTTTACACTTTATAATCGTCGTTGAACAGCCGATCCTATTTTAGGTTTACTACTACTAATGGTTAACTCCGTAGCCGTGTAATTTAGAGCCAATCCAGAAAACAAAGAAACTCCTGGATCAGTACCCCCCAGAGGTATGATTTGTTACGGGAACATGGAGGACTTTGTGACAGGCCTGACAACTTTCAACGCTTTTTGGAAAAATTTCTTTTAGCGGTCGATAAGTTTATGCGTTAATGTATCATTCTTTCTTTTATAAATTTGATTTAAAGTTCTTTTCACAACCCTACTTGTAAGTGATTCGAAAGCTTATATAAAAAAACCACTGTATTGTAGTCCTCAATGGAGGTATGTAAGAAGCACGTGTAGTTCGAAGAACACGCGTAGCGAGAAGCGCGCGTGTAGTGATTAAGTTTTCGCAATATAACATTTCCCTATTGCTTAGGCGTGGTGCATCCTTATTTTAAATTGGAATTCTGTGAGAGCTTAATTTATTTGACTCACTTTAGCTTATTACTAATATTAAAAAAACAAGCGTGTTTGCGATCTACCTATTTTACTAATCCCATGCTTAATTTGATTTCTTTGTGTGTGTTTTTTTAATGTTTTTGTTGCGTTTCCTTCTCTTTTTCACTTTTCCAATTTTCATTAACATCTTTCCACTAAATTAACTAATCACTTCATTTTAATTTCACTTATTGAGTCAGCAAACATCACTTTTTTTCAATTTTATAGCCGTGGTTGAACAGCTGACTCAATTTTGGATTTACGATTACTAATGTTCAACTCCATACCCTTGTAATTGTGAACAAATCCAGAAGACGAGGAAACTCTTAGATCAGTAGGGGAGAGTGGGGTCAATTGTAACAGGGTACGATTGTAACAGAGCAAAAATTTCGAGTGTCGGGTTCTAGATTTGGTTCCTAGGTGGCGCACAAGGTGTATTTAATAAATCTACATGTACACCCCTGATGGCAACCATTTTTATGTACTTTTGAAAGAGTTACATCACAAAAGATATTTTCACGCCACGCAAGTACTTTTTTTGGTATTAGAATATTATATTGTAACAAAGTAATTTTGTTTAAACAAATAAAAATTAGTAACCGAATATGTAAGTGGACACCTTAATTAACATTTCAATAAAAAAAAGATTAGTTTTGCTAATTAACTAGCATTGTTTTTAACAAATGAAGCTGAAATGGCGTCTTGGGGACAATTGTAACAATAAGTAAAGGGACGATTGTAACAGCTGAAAATAAATAATCTTATGTTTACAAACCATTACTTAACTCTTTAAGAACCACCAATAGTTTCCTATATCATTTATATTATGTTGCATGTGCATTATTTTATTTGTCACCTTTCACAGCATAAATTAAAATTTTTAACCCCTTAAAGTTAAAAGTTTAACCCTTTAGGTCTCTGCTCATTATTATTTTTACTCCTAAAATATCACTACTATTTTGATCAATAAAAAAATATATCACAACTATGATAATATGTATAATTAACTATGTTTTAGTTGAATTTATGAACTGTTACAATTGACCCCGTAAGTGGGGACAATTGTAACAAGTGCACGACTGTCAAAAATTGTTAATAACTAATATAATAATATTTAAAATCAGGTATTTAATTTTTTTTCTAGTAGAGGATAGTCTACTTTACTCGTCTGTCAATTAATACTAATAATATATTGGATTTTTTGTTGGTTAAAAATAGTTAAGTAAAAAATGTTACAATCGACACCACTCTCCCCTACCTCCAGAGGTAGGATTTGTTATGGGAACATGGTGGACTTTGTGATTCGACAGATTTAACGTGAATCAGTCACCATTTACTACACGGGGAGTCATCGGCTGGCGGGAATAGAACCCACGACATCTTGGACATGGGCCCAGTGCCCTACCAACCAGGCCGTCCCTGCCCCATTTCCTTAATAGTCAGTAAGGTGGGTAAATAAAAAGAGCAAAATTTGAAGCAGTAGAAAATACAGTTTGTCGATAAAAAGAACTCACCTCGATTTAAAAAAAACTTAAGCTTTCTGCTGCTATGGAAACAATAAATAGCGCATTTCAAAGAGGGGAGTTTCTCTCCCCTGATCCCCTTTTTCTCGCCGATTCGATCAAAAACCTGCCTTGGCCCAATTATTGACCCAAAACCCCTACTTGAAATAGTTAAACCTCGTAACCATAGTCACCGCCTCTGTTCCAGACGAACAGCGAGAGGAGCTTTTTACCTAGACCGAACAATCTTCATTTTGTTTTGTATTTCAGACTAAGTTTAATAATAGATATTGATAAAATATACGGATATATTTTAAGTTTTGATCATGTCATATGGAGGGGAAGAATGCTGCCTACGACCATACAGTTTAGTTGAACACAGAAAAAGCTACAAATACTATGATTGATATGTAACTAGACAATAAGGGGTGCGAAGAGACCTTTATCCAATTCATCTTGTAGTTGTCATATCATTGAGGTGAAAAATACATTGAGAAATAAAAAGGTGAGGGGCCGAAGCACTAAAGGCATCGTCAATGAGGTACAAAATTACAACCCGACAGATGACAGATCCACCCGACAGATTTAATATCCACCAGACCCCCTTTACTACATGAAAAGTATCGGGGATCAAACTCATGACCTCTTGTGCATGGGTCCCACGCCCTGCCAACCAGGCTATCTCGCCCTACGAGTTCATAAAGAACGTATAGGTTTATATAAATATATTTACGTTTGTCTGCCCTTTTGAAAATAACATTCAAAACAAGAAAAACATGATCTTAACATATCTCTCATCATGAGCTGAAAAGCAACAGCGCTTTCTTACTACCAAGCCCTACGTAACAGAGAAGTTAGAACACTTGAGTGATTTAAAAACTCCTGTTTCAGACTATTCTATTAAATTTTCTAAAAACAGCAGCTTATAGAGAAAAGCCTATTGCAGATTTACAACACATATTATCGATATCAAATCTGCAATTTTAAACACATATTATCGATATGTGTTTTAAAAAATCTCATTCAAGAAGGGAGGGGGAATTTCCCCAGTGTTGCCAGCGTCTATCGCTGAAGAGAATATCTAACAAAAATATCTGTTAGTGGTTCTGTGAACTACCACTTTCTTTTGAAAACTAATATCCATTCATCAATTTCGAATTCAAAAAATAATTTTAAATATTAATCAAACCAAAAATCCTCGAATTTGAAACAAAGGTCACGAAAACATTCGTGCCAAGAACAACCCTGTAAAAGACATCCTGTATTATGTCATGTTAAAGTCTTAAGATATTGGTTACATTTTGGGTTTTATTTAAATGTTTACATGCCGGTCTCTTATTTTGTACCGATAAAAAACGTGGTCAGCTGGTTTGCACATAAATTAAATGGTATTTTGTCAGAAAATGAAACAATTGTTTGTTTCCAGAAATGATATGCATCACATAATATATATTTTTATATAATTAACGGATTTTGGTTGATAAGAATACTCCTTTTCTCCAATTTTAAGTGCTAAGAATAAAATATTTCAGTTACCAGTCTTTAACCTTTTGAAAAAGATGCCAGCTCCAAGAATTTACTCGTTGTTGCCAGCAAACAATAATCATTTCCTCTCCAATATTGAGTTATGCATAAAACGAGAACAATAACTGAATAATTTCAATCAGTCGCGATTTTCTATTAATGCCCTCTACTCAGTTTAACACGTTCACGCCGGGAAAAGTGAAAATACTGGTAGGAGAACTATTTCAATATTAGATAATATCAGGGAGGAGTTAATCTATTCTCAACAATAACAATTCACTGTAAAGAAATATATCAGGGCGAAGAAGCAATTCAATATAAAAATTGCATCCGTTAAAAACAATTGGTAGTTATGGATTTTTATTATTCCCTGAAAAAGAAAAAAATATGAAATTTATTGTTACCAGTTTTTACTCCGGTGCGCTGCCAAGATGAGAAAATCTAGCGTGACCCACCGGTGGGTCACCAAGGCATGAACGTGTTAAATAAATCATTTGAAAGTATATTATATCTTTTAATATTTAAAAATACTCGAAAATATAAAAGTACCTTTTTAAACAAAAGTATAAATTTTGCAATTAAAATAAGACGTTTATCAATTAAAATAATCTTAAAAATACCCCAGCTAAAATTGATTGCCACATTTCGGTCAAAAATTTTGTCCCAAATAAGTTATCGAATGAAACTAACAATATGTCAAAGCAAATGAAGTATTTTTGAAATCATATAAAGTACAAATTATAAATTTAAATTCGAATTTCAATTTAAAACTTAAAAATTAAAATATATTTTTTTCTAACAAGGTTATTCCGATAGTATTATTAATAATATATTATTGGGTTTAGTACATTCCAATATTTCTGTCGCCCGCAAAGAATGCGAAGGCTTCGTCTGCAGTAAAAGTTGGAATAAAAATATAACGTTAAAACGCAACCACTTGTATGCCAGATCCCTTTATAAATAACCTGCAACAAGAACTGGAAACTTTCCAAAGCGAAATTTGCCAATGACTATTTGTTTTGAATGCTCTCCAACGTATTCAGCCATCCCCACTCAACAATTTATGGATGAAAACATAAATCTATTGAACGTATAAAATGATATCTATTGTTGGTAAACATAAATCTATTGAACACACTTCTTCAGAATATTCTTGAGAATTTTTTTGGGAAGGTAGATGAATAGATGATTTATTTCTAAATGCATAAATAAAATTAATATTGCTTTCGAAAGAAAGTTATAGAGGTAAAAATTGTGCTTGAAATTAAAACGAAGGAAAGCATCACGGCCTGGATAATATGTAGCTTTAAATATCATTTTTGAACTTTTATTAACGTTTTTTTTTGTCTACAATGATGAGTGAAAATAAAATTTAAAAATATTAAAAAAACTTGATATGAGTTATGTGAAATATATGAGTTATATGGTGTTCCGTAAATGATGCGACATACTTCTAGGGAAGTAGAGCACATCATACGAATTAAGAGTTACCTAGGAAACCATGACTGCAAATGTCATCTTACGCTGCTGGGGGCGCTTTCCTATAATGGACATGCTCGTGTGTCTTTGAACTTGTAACTTTATTTTTCAGAAGTATTTTATTTTATAAATANGATCAAAAGGTCTGATTTTATTTTATAATTTTTATAACAGTCGTTGAGCAGCCGACCTTATTTTGGGTATACGACTACTAATGTTCAGCACCGTAGCCTTGTGACTCTGAACCCAATCCAGAACACAAGAGAATTCCTGGATCAAGTATTGGAAGACATTTGCCTTTGTGGGGGACTTTTTGATTGAACTAACCAGCATTAGCGCTACATGGAGAGGGAAACCACGAAAACCTCCCTCCACGGTTAGCCTGACTGCGAGGAGACCCTATGTTACTATTATTTAATTTTATAACTGTCGGTGAACAGCCGACAATTTTTTTTTTTTGGATTTACGATTACAAATGTTCAACTCCGTAGCCTTGTAATTTTGAACGCAATCCAGAAGACAAGGGAACTCATGGATCAAGCATTGGGAGAAATTTGCCTTCGTGGAGGACTTTTTTGATGGAACTAACCCGCATTTACGTTGCATGGAGAGGAAAACCACAAAAACCTCTCATGGTTAGCCTGACGGCAAGGTTACTCTAACCCATTATCCGTCTACCACTGAGGATATTTTACGTCAACACTGTGGTCGGTGCCAGCCGGATGCGGAATTCGTATCGACTGGGATTCGAGCCCGGTTCGCCGCATTGGAAGGCGAACGCTCTATCCCCTGAGCCATCGCGGCTCTTATGTTACCATTAGTTATTGTCGAGAGTTCCATTAAAATAGGCTCCGAAATGCTGTTTAATCGTAATTTAAAGATTAGGCGAGCTGGTCCGGTTAGTCACCAAATCATTAAATTACGATAAAACAGCTAATACTGTACCTATTTGAAAGTAATTTGTGACAATAATTAATAGTAAACAAAAAATTAAGATAATTCCGAAAAATAAAAGCACCAGATGTTCAACGGCACACAATGTAGCAGTTCATAATAGGGAGAGAAAAAACCTTAACGACATTCGATAACATTTCCGGTCATGGTTTCCTAGGTAATCCCTATGATGTGCCCTATTTCCCCTAGAAGTTTGTCGCAACATTTACCGGACATCCTTTATAACACACAGAACCGAAATGGAGCAAAAACAATATTATGTTATAACAAATGAAATATTTATGAAATTGTTTCAGGTACAAACTAATGGTACCTGTAATTCTTCCAGGCTTAGTTCCGCGTAATTCTTGCATTCTCTTTCCAATGAAGCCAACCACATGGGCACCCAGACTGAAACCGATGAGATGGAGATCTTTTTCTTGGATTCCAAGTTTGTCCTTAATCCTGTAGTAAAGAACCGCTGCCTCTGCGCCTACCAATTCAGTATTGACTGCTGCCTGTATGTAGTAAGGGACTCGAGCACCTAAACTCCAGTCGATGACAATTACATTCACTTCCTCCTGAAAAATGTGCAAATGACTTTGTTTTCTTTTAACCCGTTAATACCTAAATTTTTATATTGTAAATTTGTGAAAAAGTGCTATTTGAGAAAGAGTGGCAGTACATAAATACTAATATCTGTCTACTTTTCGGGATTTTAGAGAAGATCTTACTTTTTACATTTAATGTGGTAGCAAAATTCATATATACTTTATTCTTGCTTAGATGAATGCGATTTAAAATGATTGTGATTATCATTACATTTAAACAATTCAAACATTTAGATAATAACACTGCTGGCTCTCTGAAAACGTGTTCAAGAGTTGGTTAAAGTCTAAAGTAAAACTGTTAACAATCTCAATTAATTCGGAATTTCCCTACCACTAGGAAAAAACTTTTTAGAAAAGGTAATGGTTTGCAAGTATATGAATTAAGTGGCAGGTTCGAATCCCGCCGTACCCCTGGATGTATTCTTTGTGATGTTTTTCACTATACTGTGCTATGTGTACTTCTACTTGACAAAGGTTTATAAGTCTTAATTGAGCACACAAGCCCGCAAATGTATGTCGTATCGATAAACCAATAAATTAAGTGGATATTTTTTTATCTTAGCTGCCACTTGGTTCTTTTAAAAATCACATTTCCATAATAACAGGTCTAAATTATAATCTTTATGTTACTAATATGTTCTACGAAATGTACAAATGACGTTGATTTTCTTTTACCCATTAGCATCCAAATTTTCATAATGCAATTAAAAAAATTTGAAAAAAAAATCACATTTTCATGATAAGAGATCTACATAAGACTCTTTATATCACTTATATATCGTGATAAACAGAGACGTTTAAATTTTTACAAGATAAAAACTACTTTTGCAAAAATTATTTTATCAGTTTTTATCTCTTTATGAAAAAAAATGAAAAAAAGATCTGTCCTCCAACTAGGACGTTGGGAGCAAACGGGTTTAAAGTATCTCTGATAGATAATGCGTATATATCTGTCATACTCAGTTACTCTATGTGATGCCTGCTGTTCGAATTTATTAAACCATAGCTGTCGAATCACCCGGTTTCCGAAAGATATTATTTTATTTTTAAAGTTGGAACAAAACACGTAAATTATTGCTTTTTTATTATTTAAAAACAAATTATTATAATGATTATAACCTATACTATACATAAATAATTTAAATGAAAATATTAAAAGCCCAACATTATTTTTTCAAAACAAAAAGTGTTTGCACACTTAAAACAAGTTCTGTTCATAATCGTTAAATCAATTCTTATATCGCTATCACGACAAAGAGTTTTAACTAGAATGTATAATAAATAGCTGCAACATTAGCAAACAAAACTCCATTCCCAGTAACATGACTATTTCCAAAAAGATAATGACTGGCAATTCACATATTATTCTTTCAATTCTTACAATTTATTCTTACAATTTATGTAAGGGAAACATGAATTTTTTTTATGTCCGCTATAATATAATAATAATTCAAATGCCAGTATATCCATCTGACTCCAGGAGAAAGCGATTTTTTTTTAATAGAGGAGTAGTAGTTAACACTAAAAATATCAAATGAAATTAACCAAAAGTGAGCCTCACTTAACCACCTAACAAATGTTTTTCATTGAAGGCATTTTTCACTGAATTTTTTACAGATAACTCGACTAGAAAAAGATTAATATAATACATCAAGGCATAAGCACAGGTGCCAACTTGTACAGCCATTGAGAAATTATTTTCGTTGTGGTAGTAATATTTATATTTTAGCCTAAAAATCTTAATTTTAAAAATTAAATCCTAATTTTCTTACGTACCATAACAAATTAATAATTCAAATCTGAGTATAGAAGATGTTTTTAGCAGCACTTACATCCATATCCGTATTAGTAAAATAACTTAATTTTTTTGAAAAATTTTAATGCTGTAAGTATTATAATATTACCTCTCTCTAAATTCTCAATCAAAAAGCAATAACAGGGTTATTGCGGTCATTGAAAAATTTTACTACGAGATGAAACTATCAAGTCGGCGACGATGAAAGATTTAAAACTAATTCATATTAGATTCGTTAAGCTACGTAAATTAGTTAAAACCATATTTTTACTGTCACTTTTTTATTTCCTTCCCCAAATTGTTACCGCTTATAGTTTGTAACTTTTTACCCCCGAAACAATGATGTGAGGAATCCTTGAATCCGTAATAATGAATCATAGGAAATAAAATTAAAATACGGGGCATTTTAAGAATCAACTAACCCACAACAAAATTACATTACCGTATGAAGTTGGAGCTATGATTAAGAGATACAGGAGTTAGACAAAACTATGGAAACGCGTATGTACTAACTCTATGAAAACAATTTTTCTTTTAAAAGCAAATATTTTGGGAGAGTTTACATGGGTAAATTGTTGGCACAGGTTGAAAGATCATTCTTTAAGCTTATAGAAATGATGTTACTTTTACCCTTGCAAAAGTTCGGATCTACGAAAATGAACATTGATTTCTTTTTAGCTTTTAATGTCAGCAATTTTGAAATCATTCAACAGGATTTCAATATTGATGGTAGAATGCTTTTTTAATCATAGCAGTTTTAAAAATAAGAAGCTTTTAACTTATTACGCCATTCGGAAAATTTTACATGAGTAAAAAGGATTCCATTTCTAAAATTCTCAAAACTTCAAGCATGATCTTTCGAATTGTGCCAACAGTTTTGACATTTAAATCTTCCAAAACAATGGCTGCTAAATGAAAGATTGTTTACATTGAGTAAGTATAGAAGTGTTTCTATATTTTTTCCCCACCCCTGTATAAGTTTAGCTGTACCTGGGGATTAGTGAGCTTTGCCCAAAATGAGGTAAAGTACGTTGTGAGATATTTTGCAGAGCGTTAAACCATATTGGGGTTCAAATTGGCTGCAACTTTCCTATGGTGCTGAGTATTATCGTACTTCTGAAACTTGAAGGCACAACATTTTTTGAGCCTCCTTTAGTTTGCAACAAGTACAAGTTTACACCATATTATGGTTTTCAATTGAACCAAATTGTTTAAGAGTGTAGATCACTGTATCAGAGTTTTAAAACTTAGAAATCAAATAAAATGTTCCCAAAATTTTGTTAGAACGTTTGTTTTTGTTTAGTTTTGTTTGTTCAATCAAGCGAAAAAATAATATTAACCATTAGAATTAAAAGCAAAAGAAATGTCCATATAAAAATTAGTATTCAACCTCAGAGATCAAAATCAATCTTACCGCTTCTAATAAGGCCGATTTCATATTCCACACCCATGTTAAATTGTTTTTTCCACCAAAACCGTGTGTTATGAACTTGAGAGGGTGAGAAGGGTTTAGATTACTTTTGAGAACAGTGCTCACATCCTTGTAATCTAAAAATTGAGGTACAACCAAATTCTTTCTTGTATACAGTAAGAACTTAGTGTTTACTGTTTCTGGAGGTTCGGGAAGTGTTTTCAAGTGCTTGAAGGTACCATCCTTGTCGAAACAGCCCAAGTCATCGTAACACACACTTTGAGCTCTCTGAAGTATGCTTGGGTGTGATCGAGAGATGCCCAATTTATAGGCTAACTTATGTAGTTTCACTTCTTCTACAGCACTTTTAGCATATTCATAAATGTTTGCATCTCCATCTAGGTCCACTTTGTCACCATGGCTAGAGCAGACCAGTAAAAAAGCTGCAAAAATAAGTATTTTACGACTTCAGAAATGTTTTTTTTAAAGCAAAACCCATTTTATCAGTGAATTTAAGGACAATCAAATAATTACAGTAACGATTAGATTACTTTTACATGTATTCCTTTTCACGTAATTCATAATAAACAATAATGCCTTTATTGCAATCTCAGTTTTTATTGCAATCTTAATGCCTATATTGCAATCTCAGTAAGAACTTTTGCCATGTAAAATCATCCAAAACGTTTGCTGCCAAAAGAAATATTGTTCACATAAAGTTAGAATAAAAGTTGTTCGATAGATTTTTCTAATCCCTGAATATTTACCCTTTGCACTCGAGAGGTGACTGTCAGTCACCGCTGTCACCTGTAAATTATCCGCCACTCTAAATGTGACTTTTTTTTCACCTTAATGTTTAGTTACCACTTCATTCAGTGATTTCCGGGTATTATAAGGTAAGTTTGTAAAAAAATCTTTCAAAATGTTAGTGGTTGCGTCCGTTTTTTTGACAACTGAAAGAACTTCGAGTGCAAAGGGTTAAATGCACTAAATATTCATTACTTATGTAATACCTTTTTCTATTTAAATAAAGTTCATTCTATAATAACTGGGCTGGGATAGCCTGGTAGGTAGGGCCCATGTCCAAGAGGTCGTGAGTTTGATCCCCACCAGCCGAAGACTACCCGTGTAATAAATGGTGACTGGTACACTTTAAATCTGCCGGGTCACAAGTCCTCAATTTGTTCATAACAAATCATACCTCTGGAGATCGTTCTCTGGTTCAGGTCAAAATTACGATCTGTGGATGAATGAATGAATATGAATGGGTCCGCTCTATAAACGGGTTGTGACATATGTGTGTGTCAAATGGTGCCACTGGAAAACAAGAAGAAGCGCACCTCTTTCGACTTAATGGTATACGACAAGAATAACTATAACAACCTTTTTCATCGAATTTTAGAACAGAGGATTATTGATAAATTTATACAAAGAACAATCATGGTTGCGTACGTTACATTTTTTGGGACAAATCCTATATTTCCCGTGTAAGAAAATGCCATTCCGCTGCAGAAATATTTCGTTATAGAAAATATTTGAAAATTTATTTTAAGATTGAATAAACAAGTTTAACGATCTTCAAAAAACTAAATTGATTTTTTTTTAAAAACTTTTATATAGTGATATAATTTATCTATTTCTTCCATTTATTAAGAATATTACCAAATAATAATTCTGTTTAAGCTTTATGTTCCCGAAATATTATTATATTGAAATTTTTATTAGTGAGCAATTAGGCACTATTATTATTATGTTACTTTTTTACATTGCCCTCTCTCTGATTTTTTTTTCCTTTACATTGGCTAGGTTTTAATTTTAAAAAATTTTTGGGTACTTCCATGGGTACTGCTCATTTTTATTGTACGCTCTCATTAGGCACTCATGTTTTGAGTACTGACCATACTAAAATTCGTTACAGAAAGTTTTTACGAATTATAAATCACAAGCCTGTGTAATCTGTGTTTATTACTTGATATTAAATCATTTCTTGTTTTTTTTACAGAAAAAATAGGAACAGAAAAAAAAATGCTCAAAAATAGTAAATAAATAAATTCATAAAGGTCGTCTTACTGTGAAAATATCTTTTATTAACACATTTATGAAACGTAAAGTGTTGAATAACGCATAAAACATCTGACCAATCACTGCTGTCAAACTGATACAACAGTGTCTCTAAATAACACGGTGACTGTTTGCATCTAATTTCAGCTTATTTATTTCTGGCAGCAGATCTTTAAACGAAGTGCCGCTTTCGGTTGTATTCCCCTAACTGGCTTTATTTCCGTGATTTTTAAAAATTAAAAAGTAGTAATTAATTATGCGAACAACTTAGATTTAGAACAATAAAACACCTGTGAATGATTGTTTCAGATTGAGGTATATTTTTATGGAAGCTTTTATTTATTTTATTCTAATTAACCCTTTCCCTGTCAGCGTCGCATCTCATTGGTTCTGCATTTTTGTACCCGTATGGTCCGCGTCGCATGCCAGGTAACGAAGAGAAAAATTACATCATTGAAATTGAATTCGTCGCTACTTGCACGTCTCTTTAAATCACACGATTATTTTCTAAATATTACTAAAGGAAGGTGCAACTAGCCCCACTTTCTTCTCAATTTTCGCAGTGAGATTTCCCACCTTGAATTGAAATCAAAATCATTTCGTGCTTTCTGCAATTTCGCTTTCATTAGAGTTACCGTTGCATGTCAAAATAGTTATGATGTATTCAGAGAGTGAGTCAGAGGACAGTGAATTTATTATCTCTCAGTCGGGAGATGATAGTTCTGATTTATCAAGTGAAAATTCTTTTCCGAAATATTTTTTACCCCAATTTTAATAATTATTTTATGTAGAAAATTATCGTAAACACTATAGAGTTAATAAATATGTTATCACAGTGTTTTTTTCCTCTTTTTCTTTAAGATGAAGTTTGGGTGCATTGTAGGGTAAACTGGAGATCAGTGGAAGGGACATCACATATTTCACCACCAATAGATCAAGCAAAACTCTGCTTGAGGACAAAAATATTTTGAATTTCCGAATTCAGGATCGAACATGTATTAATTTTCAGCAATAAAAAAATGCTTTTTCGGGTCTGATATTCGAAAAGAAAAATCCGACAGAGAAGGGGTTAACAGTTATTTAAATTTCAGCATACATTCATTGTGGTATAATATAATACTCCGTTAAAGGGTTAAAACTAGATCTCTTTTGCTCTAAAGAAACACAACATGCTTTAAATACTTTTTTCAAGTAGAATTTAATGAAGATTGAAAAAAAAATATTTTTACTTTTATTTAAGAATCAGTAATAATTTATAAATACAGTTAAATGAATTTATGCTAGTCCTTATATATATTATAATCTCTAACAAATCTTTCGCACTATTAGTGATTCTTAAATGCTTAATTATCAATATTTTTTTCTTAATAAGTAAAAAATTTTCTGAAACTTACCCGTAAATAAAATAGACAACATCCTGAATGCTAAAATTCTGATTAAATTATAAAGTTTGAACACGTTGGCAGCAATTGATAAAATGTGTTTTTAATCAACAAAAAATATCTTTTTTATTTCATCAAACGCAACAGGTGTTTTACTGTAGGTGATAGGCTATTTCCCAGGGTCTCTCATATTTATGATCTTTCGATTAAAGATATATTTTAAATAAACAATGTGTAGATGGATTACCAAAATATAATCAACTAGTCTTATTGTGATATCACGATATTAAGGATGATAAAATGAATCCTTGGATTAATGCTGTGAATGATAAGATATATTCACAAAAGGTCAAATATACGGGGGAGGGGGAGTACAGTTTTGTACATTCCAATCAATACTGGTTTTAACCCTTTAATATGAAAAATTTTCTAAGTGGTAATAAAAGTTATGATTTAAAATGAAATCAGAGTTAAACAAGAGTGGGTCGAAAAACATTTTTTTTTTAATTCGGAGCTCTTTAATTCGGCAAAGTTTGCCCTTTGAAATAAGAATGAAAACGGCATCAAAGATTTAAAATCGATAAATAGTTTACGTTTGCGCTTTGTACTAAAAATTGTTTAAAACTTGAAAAAAATCATGTTTTTTCAAACATGAATCTATGACCTTGCAGAAACACGTATGACCTTAAATACGTAATTTTATTTAAAAAAATAAAAACTTTCAAATATTTTACAGCTAATTACAACAAAATCTTTGATGCTGAAATACTCAAAGAAGGTTCAAAAACTAAAACCCCAGCTCCTTTTTTCACAAGTGATGTAATTCTCTCAAATAAATTTTGTTCTAATTTATAAATTTTTCAAAAAAGTCATGTTCCAGTGCCAACTAACCTCACAATTTTATCATTACACTCCCAAGGCCCTGTAATCGATTTTAATTGATAATTTTGTAGGCGCTGCAGTCACAGCACAATAACGAATTATTTTCTTCCATCCATTTCATGATTTTGTAAGCCAATCTTTTCTCTTAATTTCTTCTTTAAAATCATGATTAACACTACCACAAGGCTAAGTATCAAATGATTGCAAGGTAAAAGGCCCCCCACAGGCCCGAAAGGTTTCGAACAATCAAATGACTATTACTATAAAGCATGAATCATATGATTTTAAAGTAAAAGCTAATAAAAAGAAAATTTGCAATTTCTTCAGTTGATTATTAATTAATAGCTCTTTTTTAAATTTTGTAAGAACAGTATGAACCCTCAACCATTACAAAGTTACCATCTGTTTAATTAAGTGGAATTGGTAATGGAAGGAATTACAGCGTCAGACTGGAAGAGGCCGAAAACCCAGATAGCAAAATAAGGTTTATTTTAACTCAGCAAAAACCTTTTAATGTAAACCTAAATAGGTTTATTATGCGGTTTACGTGTAAACCTTCTAACCTTAAAACGAGATTTGTGACAATCTGCTCTATTCTACGCTCATTACCCTAATCCAAAATCTTGGAAAGCAACCTTCTATATAAAAACCTTAAATCGAGGTTGACTTAGGATTTTAAACGTGAGAAAACCCTTTAATAAAACTAGTCTCAAGGTGAAAAAATCTTAAATCTAGGTAGTTATAGGGTTTCTCTTCGCAAAGTCTTGTATGCTCAGTTTAAATCCACCTTGTCTTGAAATTTTAATGGACAATGCAATTTGATCCTATCGCTAGGGTGACGTCAGCTAATGCATACCTGCCAACTTTTACTCTTTCCGAGAATGAATTTTCAGAGTGGTTGTAAAACAATAAACGAAAAACAATCTGACTCAAAAATATATTTACTATATTTTGATCCCGTTGAAATTCGCTTGCTCAATGATTATTATGCTTTTATATATTTATTGTAATTATTTATATGTAGTGGTGGTCACACTTATTTATAATTATCATTATAATTAAAAAAGTTAATTGGAATTACCTGAGTATTGCTACCACTTTAAATATGAAAATAAAATCTTCCGGTAAATCCGGAAGAGGTGGCAGGTATGTTACTGTCATTATGGACCTAAAAGACCATTTTACCTAAGAGACAATACTTTTAAAAAAGCTTTAAGAAACAAAATAATTTTTGAAACCTTTTAGGATGAAAGGTTTGAAACTGCAAGATTTTTGCGTTATTGAAAAAAGGTTTTTAATAAAAACATTTACGTGACAATAAAAAGAAAATTCCGAAACAAGGTTGCCGTAAGGTTACATGCTTTCCGGTAAAGAGATTCTTTGTAAAAGGTCAAGCAAAAACCCTTATTCTAATGAGTATCTCCATGGATAAAATAATGACTAGCAATAAATGAAGCCAAGGACATGAAACAATTTTTGAGAAGCGTGGAAACTCATTAAACAAATACACCTGTTTATTAAGTCAGACCTATGATAATGGCTTGTTTGAAAATGTGAACACATCTCGTGTTGAAACAAATCTATTTTTATACAGTGTTTTTACATTCCTATGAATATTTATCGAAACAGATATGCTACAAGTTTTCATAAGAGATATTGAAGAGTTTAGTTAGTTTTAGTTTTTCATCAATTCAAACATGATACTGCCTACTTACGCTTTCTGATGAAAACTATTTTGGGGTTGAAAAAAAACTATTTTAGTTGTTTTTCGAAGGCTCCGTCGTACTATGAAGTTATTCTTTTTGCGTTAATAATATGTTATTATAACCGCTGTAAGTTTGCAACTGTTACTCATAACAATTAGGTCAAGTTTAGCCTGTCTAAAACCAGCTCTGTATACACTTATTTTCGAAAGAAAAAAAAACGCAAAACATATAAAAATATGGAGTAAAGCCACAGTTTTGTGAAAATATAAAACATTTTTGTGGTCTAATTTTTTAATATTCAAAAACTTACTTCAATGCAGCATTGCTTGACTTATAAAAATTTGCAAAAACTGAGAAAAAGGCAGTGATTTCTATAATTTTCATCCAGGTGGGAAAATGTGGCCAAATTGGCGATTTTTAAAGAAGTTGAATAACTTTTAAAATATTTTGGTTATTTGTCTCTTCTAAATCGCAGATATTTCTTCACGGCAAGATTATAAAAAAATAGTTTAAAATCATCGTATCGCCTCAAGCGTAAGGCACTTAAACTATGGCTTTTTTATTTTCCTTGGCGGCAGAGCTTTGAAAAGCAATGTTAATTTTACCTGTTGGCTCATACAGCCAGCTCTAAGTCTGCCACAGCTACTTTCAATTCATTCTGGAAAATGCTGCAAACTACTAGAAATGAGAAGCTATTGGTTTCTAAATGTTCCAGGAGTGAAAACGAGACGGAAAAGAGGAAAAGCTGGTAGTAAAACATTTGCAGTTATAATAGTTTCGGCTGAAACAAATAATAAAGAAATCAATTTTCTGATTTTAGTGTTCTTCTTTGTTTGACACCTAAAATGGAGGAACAAAAGTTTATAAGTAAGGAGGGAATAAAAGTTTTAAAAATTCTTAAACTGCCCTGTGATCTCATTTAACGATCGGAATTAACGTTTAATTAACGTTTTGAATTAAGACATTTTGCTAGAAAGCAAAATATAAATTAAATGAATTTAACTCATTACAAAATTGACTACGCTGCAGTCAATATTACAAATAAAAATTTATGGTGTAAATTATAACACTAAAAATTTAAGTTTTAATGGCAATAAATCGTAATTTTAACAAAAAATTTTAAAAAAATTTTAAATAATTCATAGCATAAAATTGTGACAACTACTTACGAGACATTATTATCAATTTCTTAAATCATATACGAAGTTAACTTAGTGAAATTTCTGATAAAGGAAAATCAATACAAAACAAAAAATGAATTTAACATCATTTCTTTCAAAAAATTTATTGAGATGAAATAACTGAATATAAATGCCCCGAAACAAATTATTATGTCTACGTTAAGCATTACTGCAATATGAATAACTTTATTAAAATAAAATGATGGAAATCGATCCATGCATTCAATCGCGCCTGGTATTGATTTTAAGCCTTCACTTTCCTTCGAGGACATGTCATCATATCAGCCATTTCCTCGAATTTCATCTGATCTGTCGGGAATTTGTTCCATCAGTTTCCTTCAAATCACCATACATTAAATGATTACAAATGGTATTATTATTTCTAGAAAACAATTGCCTATAAAAACAAAGAATTATTTTCGGTGTATTAATTTTATTTACGTTACATAATATATATAGTTTTACTAGCAAGAATAAAGAATTGTTCCATTAGTTTCATACTTAACAACCGTTGTAGTGGTTTATCTATTTTTAAAGATTATTTCCGTTCTCTGCTTATATAAAAAAATGGATTTATTGATTTGCTACGAAATAATAAATTACAGTTTATATTTTACAGATATCTGAAGTACTTTTGCACAGTTATATTTTAAATTATAAATTTTCAAACAAAATTTTATTTACAAATTTTAAATTTAAAAAACGCTACTTCAAGTTTAAAAAAAGCGATTTCAAAAAAAAAAAATAAATACATAAAAATTGCTGTATCTTTAAATTTCAAATTTTTAATGTATTCCATATTTCGCAGTCCCATTTTACTCGTATTTATTTATTTTTCATTTTTTTAAATACGAAGATGCAAAAATTGTGCTTTGTCCTTTTATTCAATACCGTAAAATATATGCCCACTTTTTCCGCCAACTCCTTAAAATAAAACTTTTTATTATGTCTTTAAGGTTAATATTTTTTTTACCAACCATTTTTATTTAAACTACTGAAAATCGAAACGAATACATACCTGCCAACTTTTACTCTTTCTGAGAATGGATTTTTCAAGTGGTAGTAAAACAATAACCGAAAAACAATTTTACTCAAAAATATAGTTATATTTTGACTCGGTTAAAATTCGCTATCATATAATTAGTATGCTTTTATATATTCGTTGTAATTATTTATATGTAGTGGTGATCAAACTCATTTATAATTATTATTATAATTCAAGAAGTCTAATGGCATGACATGAGTTTCGGTACCACTTTAAATGCGAAATTAAAATCGCCCGGGAAAACCAGAAGAGTTGGCAGCTATGCGAATATTTCGGACTGAAATATGTATCTGTGGACCGGTTCTTTAACCACCACACTCTCCGGATTTAAGCAGCATAGATTTCTTTTTTTGGGGTGCACTTTAAAATGTGCTCAGTACGTAATACCTGAGAATTGCAAGAATTGTCTGAGCTGCTGTGGATATCCAACAAAATCCAGGAATATTTTGAGCGAGTTCGCCAATCCATGGCCTGACAGTGTAACGCATGCATCGCTAGCAATGGTGAAAACTTCCAATATCTTTTGTGATAAATCATCTACTACACATATCATCTACCACAGGGTCTTTGTGGCTCTAGAGATAGAGCACTCGCCTCCCAATATGGTGATCCGGGTTCGAATCTAAGTGATGAGTGGTTGAAACTCCTCTCCTGGATCACAAAAACCACAGTGCAGACGTAAAATTTACTCAGTGGTAGACGGATCATAGATTAGAGTCCCCTTGTCATCAGGCTAACCGTGAGAGGTTTTCGTGATTTTTCTCTCCATGTAACACAAATGCGGGTTAGTTCATCAAAAAGTCCTCCACGAAGGCATATTTCTCCCAACATGATTCAGGAGGTCCCTTGTCTTCTGGATTGGGTTCAAAATTACAAAGCCATGGAGTTCAACATTGGTACTCATAAATTCAAAATTGGGTTTTGCTATTCAAATTTGTCCATATAATCCTAGAACACACTGTATATTCTCTCTTAATATATGAGATGCAGAAAACTTATGCAATAATTTTCCAAAAAATAATTATTGGACTAATATATATAAAAATTTAAAAAAGTGTAGGGCTCTCACCAATTCATCTGATCTGACTCAAAGAGACAAAACAAGGACAAGATTCGCTGTGGTTGTAGGCAGCTTCTGGTGGGTTGCACCGTGTTTACATCAGACTGATATACATGAATAAAAAATGATATAATAATAAAAATGAAAAGAGGCTATTTACAATATTTCTTGTATGGTATACGAACCAATAAGGAAAATGCTGCCAAATCCAATTTCGTATTATGCAAGGATGCCAACTACTCCGGATTCGACAAAATATTTTTAAAAAAAACGGTGAAAAAAATCCAAACTAAAATTTCCAGATTTTAGGTTAATTTTGACAGCTTTTTGAAAGGCTCGACAATGTTTAACTGTAAAAAAGTGGAGTTTTACTTAAGCCTTTGAAGTGGTGATCAGAACCCTATAAATCGAATTTACTTAACCCCTTGCCTGGGGAATATATTTGAGAAAAACGTCCTAAAAATGGAGGAAAAAAATTCTCTTTAATTTTATTCATTGTTATCATCACAATGTTAGAAATAAATTTTAAAAAATGTAACGAATTATCTACTGTATTCATTATTTTCACATGTATGGATAATGTAAAAAGATTACGGTAATTTTTGCTCAAATTATAGCGAAATAAATCAAACGACACAATTTTCAAAATAAATATAATAAACTAATACAATAATGTTAATTTTTGCATCCACTTTCAGAAATTCTATGCCCCTCAGATTCTTTTGAATTTCCGACAAATGGCGCGAAACTGCTGAACTTTTAGAGGGAAAATTTAAAAACGAGTATAGCCCTAAACTGAGTTCGGGCATCACAGGCAAGGGAGTTAACCAAGAATCATACATTAAAAGACTACTAATTCGAAAATATTTATTTTTTGCCCGAAGCCTTCACTTTGCTTTAAGTTTATTTCCAATATATATTCTTATTTTTAACGTGGTAAATTTAGAATCGAACTTTTAATTAAATTTTTATTAGATTAAACTACCATTTAAAACTAAATAAATAAGAGCGAATGTTATTGTGAAATAAGCGCGAAGTGAAACACACCTTTAATGACGTTTTTAGGAATCGTTAGATAATAATTTTATAACGCTGAACTAGCGAATGGTTTTAAAATAGCCGCTACCCATCATCCGGCTTTGAAATAGATATTATTATCTCATCATTTTCAGACGATAGCAGATGTTTTTGCTCCCGAAGAAATAGTGAGAAAGAGAGTGAAACTACGTTTTAAAACTTTTTTCTGTAAAAACAACGTTTCATATTATTATTTTGTTGTCGTTATTATACTTTCTTGTGTTGTAATATTTTTTTTTCGATTACAATGACATGCTCATTATAACGACTGATACTTCGATTCTATAGACGCAATGTTATTTTAGATTCCATTAGAACGTTCTCACTGAACCGTTGATTTATTTCCTTTTTATTTCATTTTATTATTTTTATTTTAAATTTATTGATTATTATTTTTTATTTTATTTTATTCCATTTTGTTTATTTATTTAATTTTTGTTTTTTATTTTTTAACGGATTTCTTTTGATCAAACATTTTTCCTCCATCAACAAAAAAAGGAAGAAAAGAAAAAAGTTGAGAAAAGTTTCAAAGAAATCATTTAAACCACTACTTCCTTTGATGCTACAGTATATTAAGTTTGTATTGACGATATCCTCCTAGAATTTTTTAAAGTTAATAATAGATCCAACTCTAAGTTAACCCCGTCCCCTCCCCAAGAAAAAAACTTTTGCTTTCCAAAATCTTCTAAAAATTCTCGTCATATATTTGAAAATTTTTCAAATTTTACTTGGTTATTTAATAAAAATTTTGTAAACGCATTTGAAATTTCGAATATGTTTAACTATCATTTTCCACATTCTTTGAACGTGAAACTTCTTAATAAAACTTTTTGAAAACTTAAGAATGATATAACATTTTAAAACTATTAAAATTTATTTTAATTTATTGTTTTCCGTTACACACTGATATTTAAATGCTATAAAATGAGAAATTTCCTGCCATCCATAATTAATCCAAAGGATTAGTTCTTAATCCACACATAATCCGTTTTAAACCACGAAATAAAAGAACGTGATTGCTCTTTTGTTATTAAAAGAAAATTACAGTAATATTAAAAATGTTTTATTTTCTTTTTTTTTTTATTATTGCGAAGTTACTTTATCTTCTCAAATACTGTATTTTCTCACATTTAAGAATATTTTTAAGAGCTCATCGCGATTTGTGTGCTACTATGTGTTACGTTACGTAGTTCAAATATGTTTAAGACCATATTTTTAAAGAAAAATGTCTGAAAGAATAACATCTATTAAAGATTTATTTCAAGGATTTCAATTTTATAAGTGACGTACAAGTGTTATCTTAAGTTCCAGTGCCGGACTTTTTATAAAGCCTGAACGAAAGGTTCGAAAATTTCTTGAAGCCTTTAAGTATTACAGCCAACCATAAGAATTCTGAGAAATTAAATTGTAATAAATATAAGCTAAAAAATTCTCTTCACATATCATAATCCTCTGATATAAAAAATTTAAAAGCATTCTGTACTGAAACAAGAGTTATATATATTTAACATGGACACTAAAGTACCGCTTCAAGAGCCATGATATTTAATTTCTGATACCGATGCCCAGCAGAGCCGCTCTCCCGTCAGTTTTTCTGCTTTCAGCTCCTAGTTTTATCAATTGTGCTCATCCTATCTCTTAGTTTTGCTTTTAAATGTGACTAATTTATATAAATAAAAAGTAAACAGACACCAGACCACGTGTATTTAAAATTACCACAAGCTACGGTTACAAACATTCATTTTTCTGTCTAGTAAAAATATTTTTGGTTCATAAATTTGGCAACGCCGATTGGTTGTCCTACCTTCAGGTGAAGGGAGAAAAAAAAAACAAATATTGATTTTCGCTCATATTCATGTACTTGGAAACACCTTGTTCTTTAAATAATTGGGACTGTACGCAGCCGAATAAATCTCATAATATTTGTCATTTTTTTTAAATCATTAAATTCGTACTGATCGTAGCTGTAAGGTCATTGCCAAAACGTGTTTCCCCTTCTTGCGTCCTACATTGCGTGAAAAACGAGTGTAGTTGCGAATTGTTGCCCTACGTAATCACAGTTTGTATATTATGTTTTATGACATTCGTGTAGGGCATGAAAACAAACTTCTTACTTGTCAATCTTTTGCTGAATGTTTAATATTGAAAAAGCAATAGTTTTGATCGAATATTTCATTTAAAAGCCACAAACTGGCACGTTTTCAAGTATATTTCAGAAGATTAAGGACTAGTGTATAATCTTACTGATAATATACAAATTTTATAAATTATTTGGAAATCATGGCTTCAGCTTTGAAACTTGGAACGTTTAGTGCCGTCATTTGTAGAAAATCGTATTCTCATGTAAAAATAAGCTCATCCACTGGCTTAAATAAATATAGGACTTATATGACAAAAACTTCTCAAGAACCGTTTTTAAATGGAAGTTCATCTGTATATGTCGAAGAAATGTATAAAGCATGGTTAAAAGATCCTGAAAGTGTCCATAAAGTAAGTTAATTTGTACACTATTTTTTTATGCAATTCAAAGAATAGTCGCGCAACGTTCTTTAACTTTGCGCGAATTATTTGCCCATTCATGTAAAAAACATTTGGTTTTCATTAAAATCTAGTTTAAAAATTCATGTACATATTCACTAAATAACAAATGCAATCAAAAGTACAATCTAAGTTAACCAAATTCTTAATTTCAATCATAACATATTGACTTAAAAATTTATTGTAATAATTACTATGTTTAGAATTACCTATTATTCTAAATGTTATCTAAAGTGCTTGTTTCAGTGCTTATAAGTGCTAATTTTACTAATAATAAAAAAGCAGGCTATTTCTTGCCTGAATCATAGTCTAATTTATTGGAAATCTGTGAAAAAATATTTCTATAAAACTGATATCCTATTTTTAAAAAGGATATTTCATGAAAATTTGTATAAAGATAAGTTAATTGAACGTTAAAGATAAGTTAATCCTTAAGCACATATTAGCCCAGTTTAATTTTTTTTAAATTTAAGAAATAAATCTATTAATTGTTTACCTAGTAAATTATCTATTAAACATTGATGCAAAAATGTAATAATTGCATAAAATTTTTGTGTAAATTTTCTTATTCCATTAAAATGGGTTTTTATCATTAAATTATATTAAAATGAACAATTTCTCTCTTTTTCAAATTGCTTTTTGAGATCACAAGTAAAATGATTATTGATCCATCCGAAATAAATAAAATTTTGTGAAAGGATAATTTCTTGGGTTTAAAATTTTATAAAGGTGTTTTTGTGGTTTTAATTTTGTAAAGTATACTTTTTGAGGATTTAGATTTTTAAGACTCCAGAACTTAGTGAAAGGTTTTTTAACAGACCTAATTTGATTCTTGGTTCAATTAAAAGTTTTTTATTTTTTAATAGTAACACATAGTATATGAGTGAGTGCTGAATTATTGTTATGGTGATGTTGCAACTTGGAAATGTGATGTTGCAAAATCTTGCAACATGAGTTTTAACAAAAATATTTATTGTTTTACCATGTTCATAATTATATACTTTTATTGCTACTATTTGAATACTAAACAACCATCTTTTTTTTTTCTCTTAATTTAATGTTCTTTATTTATTTCAGCAGAAATGTAAACATGTATGAAATAATGATATTGTTATGCTTAAACAGGTTTCAATTTTCTTAATGCTGTTTATAATATATAAATTTTATATTTTTTTCTTGTTTTTCCTTTTAAAATTTCAATATATAAAACATTCACAAGCTATAAATAACTTCTTTTTTTTTTAATTAACACTAGCAAATAGGTAATTGAATACTTATTTAAATACAGTAATCTTCATTTTAATATGTCTCATTTAATGTATAGTTAATATAAATTTTTATTATCAATAGTTACCGCTTTTTATGATGCATAGTTATTGGTAATTTAAAAAAAAAGGAAAGAAACAGAAGGTAAAAATTTTTTTACTGAAAGAAAAAAATAAATTTTTATTTTAAGAATTACAGATGAGACTTTAAGTGGTGATAATAAAGGTGATAGTGATTTAAGTATTTAGTGTCGTGAGTATTACAAGTCTAAACAGTTGATGCGATTCTTAAAAGCTAAAGTTTATGAGTTATTAAAAATTATAAACCATGTTCTCACATTTACTCTTTCGGTGTAAATGAAAAACCATAACTTATTTTTAAACATTTCCTATTTTTTTACATGCATTATAGCTTAAAAATTTTGATAATTTTAGTGGTTTTCAGTTTAAAAACTGCCCTAATTTAATAAGCAGCTTGCTTTGGTCTCTTTTTATTTTCCAGTATATACAAGTCAGTTACACATAAATTGTTCAGTATAATTATAAATTGCCCAGTGTAAACAAGATTAAAAGTATTTTAACTTAAGGTTCAGTTTATGTAGTTATTAAATTTTTTTTCTTCTTACAGTCCTGGGATGTTTACTTCAGAAATTCCACTGAAGGAGCTGATCCAAGTAGTGCATACCAAAGTCCACCTCTTACCCCCACTGAGTATGTCCACGTTCCTTTCCCATCCGTGCAAGGGATGACCGCCCTCACCCCGGTATCTGGGACTCCACAATATGTTGAACCAAGAGGAATTGAAGATCATTTATCTGTACAGGCTATCATAAGATCATATCAAGTGAGTAACTTAGCCTCTAAACTTTTTAATCTTTCTCATATAGAAGGCCTTTTCTATACGCAATGTTGCTGCATTGTCCTTGATATTATGTTAGCAGTGTTTTTATTACAGAAAAAAAATGAGAGAGAATTTCTCACCCTTTCTCAAAAACAGGGTGAGATCTCAAAAAATTAAGTGAGACTTCTAAAAATTAAAAAAACGCGAATAGACTTGGGAAAAAAACATTTCTTAAATTATAATACATTTTAACATTTTCTAATTTTTAAAGCATTGAATTTTTTTGCTGCATCATCATATGGAAAACGTTCTATATCTACTTTTTCATCAGCTTTTCTCATTAGGTTGCTCAAATGTTTATCAGTCATTTGTATACGATATTTTGTCTTAATTCAGTTTTAAGTGCTAAATGACCTTGCCACATATGCTGAACAATTCGGAATCACTTAGTAAATTTGTAGCATTGAAAAAATTTTTTACGTCTTACATGAAGAAATCTTACCTTCCGTGAACACGTGTTTGCAGAAAAATGTGTTCTGAAAGGTGTTCCGTCATTCGNAATCTTACCTTCCGTTAACATGTGGTTGTAGAAAATTGTGTTCGCACCAGTTCTGAACAATACTGCTAAATAGGGAAGCTAGATAACATGGATCCATGTTGAAAATAATGAAAGATCAAGGAAGAGAAGAGGTGAAACGGATTTTATTCAAAATGGCAGAAGACGAATTTTTTTCCAAAATTTGCTCATTTTGAAATTGATTAATAGAGTGCGTGATCTTCTCGCGTTAATAATTTTTTAATTCGAGAAAAGAAAAAAAATACTCGAGATTCTCGCGTTCTCGCACTGTAATGAAAACACTGTGTTAGGTAGGGTGATAGAAGTTAAATCTAGTGATTACAAATACTTATTATTTAATTGAAAAGAATTGATTGATAAAAATTAACCAGACTGTCGAAAAAAGTCTGTGTAACACAGACAACATTTAATTGATAGTCTATTTCACGCTGATTCATTTCATTCTAAAGTATGTTTAAAGTCACCAACACAAGTATATTAGAAATGCATATTTTGTGTTATGGAATTAACTCCCTTAAATTTCGTTTTCTGGAATTTTATCTATGTAATATAGGAAAAAGTATATACGAGGAAAATTATTCTCGAACCTAAAATGTGTGTTTCTGGTGCACTTTATTTCCTGATCAACTGTGCAGAAAATTCACAGCATAATATTTCTCCTGAACACACTTTTTCAGGCTTGAAATTTCTCTCAGAATTAATTATATCAGTTTTTAGTTACAATGAAGCTTAAAAACTGATTTTAGAAGGTGGAGTTTGTGTATTATTAAAATTGTTTGATAATAGTTTTTTCTCTAATTAAGAAAAAAATTTGTTTGACTTTATATAATTTTTGAAATATGTGTTGAAATTAAAATATATTGAAATAGTAAAATAATTTAAGAAACTGAATTTTAAGTCCCACTCATGAGTTTAAAGAATTCAAACTATGTCAAATTGACATATGTTATTTGTGATTTTTTTTCCTTCTCTTTTTGCAGGGAAATTTTTTGTCAAGTTATTATTTATTTTTTTATTTTATAGTCCAAAACATTGTGAAGCAAAATAATTTAAAGAATTCAAACAATGGCAAATTGACATATTATGTTATTTGTGATCCCCCCCCCTTCTTTTTTTCCAGGGAAATTGTTTGTCAAGTTATTATTTATTTTTTTACTTTATAGCAGGGGTTTGTGCACGCCAAATTTACTACTGTTTATCGGTACCTTCGCAAATTCAACTTTAGGAGAAACGGCNGCAAAATAATTTAAAGAATTCAAACAATGGCAAATTGACATATTATGTTATTTGTGATCCCCCCCCCTTCTTTTTTTCCAGGGAAATTGTTTGTCAAGTTATTATTTATTTTTTTACTTTATAGCAGGGGTTTGTGCATGCCAAATTTACTACTGTTTATCGGTACCTTCGCAAATTCAACTTTAGGAAAAACGGTAGTTTCACAAAATACTTTTTCTTAAAATTTTATTTTTGTATCCCGTAAGAAACGATAAATCCATATTTTTGTGTTGGTTTTTTAATATAATTTTTAATTTTTACAAATCATGTCTTAATTTTCACGAAATTGGTAACTCTCAGAAAAACCTAGACAGATCCCTGTATAGGGTAAAACATTGTAAAGCAACAAATTTGTTTGGAATAAAAAATTTATGGAATTTTTTTTTTTTGTCCTATATGTTTTTTGTATGCCTAATAATGTACCTTTTTTTTTTAATAGGTGCGTGGTCATCTAGTTTCCAAATTAGATCCATTGGGCATCACGTCTGCGAATATACAGTCCCCTTTCTCTGAGGGATCTCCCAGTTCCCCTCAAGTTGTTTTAAGAAGCTACCAGTTGGGTAAACAAAACAGCCTACTTTGTTTATAAACTATTTCTCCTCTTTTCTTTTTTTTTCGTATTTTATTAAAATAGTAAGGTTTCCGATTCTTGTACGCTACTTTAAAGAATCTATCAAAGTTTGCTTCTCACTAACTTATATTCTTGTGCTCTTACAGTTTTACAACAGTTAAGAAATGTTTTATAAATCTTAGAGGATATATATATTTTTTTTATTTATTTCTGAGCAAATGAAAATTTATTAGGAAGAAAATTTATTTTACAATTCAATTCAATAATTTGACAATAAAAAGAATGCCTTTATTATAAAAGTACCTTCTTTATTTGAATTAAATTTAATTGGAAAAGTTTTTTAAAGAAGATTAGTGTGTTTCATAATATTTTAAGTACATTGTAGAAAAGTTAACAACTAAATTTTGAATAACAGCTCTTTAAAAACGCTTACTTCAAATTTTCCTTGCAGCAAAACAAATTGTTCAAAACTTTTTTTTCTATTTTAAGTAATTTTTATGTTGTATATCCAATAGTTGTCATGAAAAAAAAGCATTTAATTATCTTTTTTTTTTTACTATTTNCTTTTTTTTTTTTTTTTTTTTACTACTATACTATTTTGCATCTTTTTTTTTCACAATAAGTTATGTTAATGTCTTGTATTAAAAGCTAAAATTCTAGATAAGGAGATTTTTTAATTAAAATATACCAAATAACAGGAATTAATTACAATATTAATTAATAACATATCAATTTTTCTCATTTAATTTAAGAGTGGATGNTTTTTTTTTTTTTTTTTTTTTTTTTTTTTTTTTTTTTTTTTTTTTTTTTTTTTTTACTGCTATACTATTTTACATCTTTTTTTTTCATCACAATAAGTTACGTTAATGTCTTTTGTATTAAAAGCTAAAATTCTAGATAAGGAGATTTTTAATTAAAATATACCAAATAACATGAATTAATTACAATATTAATTAATAACATATCAATTTTTCTCATTTAATTTAAGAGTGGATGAAAGATCCAGGTGGAATTTTGAGTAAGTTAACTTTAAAGTTTAGATGCTTCTTCCTTATGAAAGAAAATATTATACCTTACCTTCATATCTTGTCTGAAAAACTCTAATTCATGAAAAAAATGATACCTCAACATTCTTTAACATTAGGAATAGCATTCTTAGCATTTTAATTTTCTTCTAAAAATAAATTCTCTTGTGTTAGTTAGAACCTTCTTTCATTCTAAAATCATTCAAAAGTGGTATTATAATCTTCATCCACTGTGATTTTGATAAATTTAAAGATTTAAATAAATTAATGTTATAACTTTAAATATAATTCTTTCCCGAGAAATCTGAATTTTTTTAAAAATGTCACTTAAAACCTTCTTCCACTAAGCGATTTAATTATCTGTTTTAAAAAATTTATTTAACTGCAGTCAAGCCTTAAAGGAAAATTTTGAGCAATCTAAGAATCGCATTTTTAAAAAATCTGCCCGTCTAATATGTGACCTTGTGTAAAAATGCAAATAATGAAACAAAACATTAAACGATAATAAAATTTAAGGGGAAGTATTTTTTTAAACTTCTATACATATAAAAGAGTGTGAAACAGAGGTTAGAACTATAATTTGGACAGAAATTGTAATTCTTACTTAGAAACAGTAATATTATCCATTCTTTGTTTTCGAAGGTGTATTACACATTTGGAAATATTTTAAATTGTATGTTATTTCATCCTTATTTTGTTCTTATTTTATTGTAATTTTGCGGTTGTTTTGTACTTTTTACAATCTGCCTCAGATTTTTTGAGTCAACTTTCATTTTTTCTTTACTTATACATTGCAGCTGTTGTATGGCGTTATAATATTTAAGCTAGTTTCTTGCTAAGTAATAAATCTCCGAAAATTTATCAGTATACTTCGTTTTATTTTAGTGACATTGGAATAAACTGTTGTTTATATTTCTTTAAATGCTTTAATTTGCAAATTATATTTTTAACATATTTGACCATCATTTGATGAATATTATTGAACTTCCCATTAATAATATCATTGTGTGCTGTCATGTCCTCCTTCTCCTATTTTCAAACAGAGGAAAAAGACATGGATCGTCATTTCAAGCTTCCTGGAAGTACTTTTATAGGGGGCAATGAAAATACTATGTCATTGCGGGAGATTTTAAAACGCTTAGAGGTACATGTATTTATATCCTTTTTAAAATTGAACATTTATGTATGATAAATGAATTTAACCTTTAACCAAAATTCTTCACAAAGAAAAAGAACATTTTTCCTCAATTTCTGAGGAGGAAAAATGTTGTTTTAAAATTCTCTTTTAGCCTGCTTAAATGAAATTTGATAACATAAGTATCATAACATATTCGTAGTCCTGTTTTTATTACAAAACAACAGAAACTTTAACTTTGAAAAGAATATTTTAGTTGCCACTGACCATTATGCTGTAGCACCCAATGTTTTGAGCATTAATTTAATAGAAAATGTGAAGAAAAAAAAAATTTTTTTTTGTAATTGTAGTAGTAGTATTCTAAGATATTATGAAAATTGAGGTATCAAGATTTATTCAAGTTAACACCTGTTAACTGTATTTGTTTGATTTCTGGAATCAGGAAATTTGAATAATGTTAAGCATGAAAATTTTTGTAACAAAACAAGTGTTATTATAATTAAAAAATCAATCATTTAGCTTTTGAATTGAATAATTATGGTTTCTTTAACAAGATTAATGTATAAATTAGATAACTTTCATAAAATGTTATGTTATTTCCTTAATTTTCATGTTATGTATTAACGAGGTGAAGAATTGTGATTAATTGAGTTGTTAAAAAAAGTTCAGTTGAGACCTTGTTAGAAATGCCCACATATTTAATAAGGATTCATTTATTTTAATAAATTGCTTAATGCAGTTACAGACCAAAACCTTTTCTTCTTTCTTTCTTTTTTTTTTTAAACAGTTGCCCGAAAATAAATTTTTTAAAAAAAGATGGAAATTCTAAAAATTAATCAAAAATATAAAATTCTTTTCTTCTTAATTTCAACATTGATTTTAAACACTGTATTCCATAAAAAAAATGCTGTCTGTATTTAAGTTTTGATAATTTATTTTTCAATGTCTAGTTAACAAGCATCAAAAATTATTTACTTCAACATTTCAAGCTAAATAAATTATATTGAATGCTTTGTATGTAGGATGTGTACTGTGGTCCTATTGGAATTGAATATATGTTCATAAATAGTCAAGAAATATGCAATTGGATTAGGAAAAAATTTGAAACACCAGGTATTATGAACTTCAATAAAGAACAGAGAAGACTATTGATGGCTCGTCTCATTCGATCAACAAAGTAATACCAAAACACTCTTTAATTAAACCAAAATCATTTTTACTGTTATTTGTATCAGAAAGTAAATCAATTAAAGGGTAAAGCTTGTAGCTAACATAAAACATATATTTAAATTAGTATTAGCTCTATTTTCTACATTATTTTTTAAGATTAATATTTTAACAAGTTTATGTATTAAAAAAAATATTTTTGTATTCAAATTTTTCTTAAGTACTTCATTTATTAATTTAATTAAGTGTATCAGAAGATAATTCACACATAAAAGTTATATTTTGTGGTTACATGTTTAAAGAATTTTTATTATAACTTAAATCAACTATGTTCTATATTTAACTAATATAAAATATGTATTTAAATTAGNTAAATTTATTTTTTCCAGAACATATTTAGAAACACTATCCTTTATAAAAAATATATAAATTTTATGTATTAATTAAATTTCACATATGAATATAGGTTTTTGACATTTTTGACAGTGAGGTTTTTGACGTGACGGTTTAAACCATGGTTTAAACTGTCACATGTCAAAAACCTGCCAACCCTGATTAGCACTATTATTTACATTATTTTTTAATATTAATATTTTAGCAAGTTTATGTATTAAAAAGTATATTTTTTACTTGAATTCTTCTGAAGTACATCATTTATTAATTACTTCAGTGGATCAAAATATAATTCAAGCATAAACATTATATTTTGTGGTTGCATGTTTAAAAACTTTTTTTGCAATTTAAAACAACTTGTTTCAAAATTTTAGATATAACAAATAAAATATGTTTTTATTCATAGATAGTTGTATTAAAAGTGTTTATTTTACAATTGAAGTAGCATTAGGGTAAAAAGTTCAGTTACGGTGCACCCTTAAAACTGTGTATTAATAAGTATCCATTCTTTTCTTATACATTATATCAGTATATAGCTGAAAAATCACCACATTTCTTATGACTTATCTTTAAAAAAAATTGTGTTAACTTTGTAATTCATTATATTATAAAACTTTTACTGCAGTTTATTCTTTCATTAACTATTGCCAGATTTAATTTAAGTTATTAAGTTTTTTATTAAGAACACTGTGTGTTAGCTTTCTTTTCTAGTTTGAACTCAGTTTATTTGAGGAACTCAAATGCAAATCTTACTTATGTTTATTTTTAAAAAAAAAATTTTTTGAACCTTATTATGATGCTAAAGGAAATGAAGTGCAATTTTGGATCAAAATTTATTGTGTGGAATTTTGCGTTTTAAGCAAGCGGTATAATTAAATATGCAAATTTTTTAACTCTTTTGCATTGATATTTTTCTTAGTATAGCCAAAAAATACAATTCAATGTAATTGTAAGCTTCATTTTCAAATTGTTTTACTATAAACACCTTAGTTTATTTGTTGACAATATAAAGAAAAAATTTCAATGCTATGCTCTTATCTAGTGAAAATTTCAGTAACTTACTAAAAAAAAAATTGAAACAATTCCTAAGGATCAGTTCAAAGTAAAAATTTTCTATCACTATATTATTCCAAGCCCTTCAGTTGAAGATCTTAGTTATAGAAAGTGTTATAAGATATAGTGATAACTCTGAATTATAACGCTTTAAGAACTTAGTATGGACCATTATAAGTTAAAAATTTTTATTTTTAAAAATTTTTGAATAAGGCAGTTTTTTTTTTTTTTTTAAGAATAGAGTAATTTTTAAATAGCTCACCTAAGTTTTTATGTATTCTAAAGCTGATTTTTGCAAATTTTCTGAGATTAACACTTTGTATTTTAACTCATACTTCTAATAATTTATTTATCCAAACTTTTTTTTGGGATTTTTACCATCTTAAATCAATAGTTGCAGTTTAAAGTGGAGGCAAATAGCTGCTATGGGTATAAGAACCTAATTTTTTTATTCTGATTTTCTCAAAAATTCTAATTAAAATTTAAGAAAGGTGTTCCATCTTTTATAAAAAATACCAAATTGTTGTATCTAATTCTTGTTGTTGAATAATTGTTCTTCAGGCCCCACTACACTCTGATAAGCCTTTTAAGTTTTCAACATCGCATTCTGCTCATATTTATAAAAAAGAGCACTTTCTAATTTGTTCGATAATTAAATTTGTTTGGGATGTGGTTAACTGATTTTTTTTGCTAAAGGCTGTTACTGTTTATTGGCTAGTATTATTATATTGTATACAAGATTTTTTATTGCAGAAAAGTAACTCTTATTTTGAGTTTTAAATTACATTTCAGATTTGAAGACTTCCTTGCTCGAAAATGGGTATCTGAAAAACGATTTGGACTTGAGGGATGTGAAGTTCTTATTCCAGCCATGAAAACTATAATTGATCGAGCCAGCGAATTGGGTATTGAAAGTGTCATTATAGGAATGCCTCACAGGTATTGTTTTTTTTTTCATATAGAATGACTGTAGCATAAGAGACTTAAGTTTCCAAATCCTTGTGAAATGTTACCGTATATACATTTTTGTTTATAGTATAATATTTAAATGAAATGATTGTTTTTTCACTGAAAGTTGGATTGTACTTGCTGATAAAAGTTATTAGCTTTTATAGATAAATGGATCTTAGTTAAGAATTATGCACATTAATTTGATTTCAATTTTAATAAAACTAATCAATTTGCCTAATTTAAACTGTTGATTCAAGTTTTTTTCATTTATATATTTTTCTGCCATTTACAAAGCTGTTTGTTAAATTAACAGTAATTGAAAAAAAAAACATTAGGTAATTTACCCTAAAGTCAATACTTGATAAAAAAAAAATTGCAGCACAGCAAAGGTTATTTAAAAATTTTGAAAAAAATGAAAATGGTTACTGACGTATCAAAACACTAACATACTGTTAATTATTAGAAAGTATAAATATGATATTAAGTTATTGCCAATAATTTATACATCTGCTCACTAGTTCTTAGCCTGGATAGTTGGTCACAATAATTTAAGCTGTTCATCAGTTTTAAGTTTATAAATACTGTGTTTGGAAGGTATAAAATTTTTTTATTGAACTGTAGATAAGCTGTGTAATATGATATCCTTGGCTATTAAAGCTTTGATGATCTTAGTCACAAGTCTGGCACATTTTTTTCTTGCTTGCTTAGGTGCACTTGAGCTTGGTTTAGATGAGTTATAAATCAAACTAATTTTTAAGAAGCTAATGAATTCTTTTCAGAATAAATAAAATGAAGTTTATACAAACCAAAGAGGAATGAAAGCTTCCAATAATATCGGAACTGGCTGTAATTTTTTGCTGTCAACAAATTCGCCATGGTTTTGCTCAGGGCTTGAAAATTTTCATTCGCCGTTGACTGTCAAATATTTAAAATTGGCTAATAAGTTTCATCATCATATAAGTTAATTAAGCTACTTAAGCATCAAATTTAAATTAAACTACTTGCGTTTATCTAGCATAGCTACATAGTTAAATGACATAGATTATCGTGTCACTATCGAGCAGCACCTAGAAGTGTTTTGCAATCAAGCAACTGCATTTTTTGCCTATTTAGGACAAAAAATATTTAGCTATCCAATTTTCACCACAAAACCATTGTTTTTTAAACATCAAAGCAATATGACAACCTTGTTTTGATTTACTATTATTGCAATAAATAAGTTTCGATTAAGTTCTTTATTCTTATTTGATTTCAGTGACCAAAAGTGTTCTGTGTACTACATCTCTTAACATAATAAATATTGTTTATATTTTTCATGAATGTAAAATAATGGCAAGTAAAATTTTTAGTCTAGCTAGTAACGAACTAAAATTTTATGTCTTGGTTTAGTCATTCCTATTTGTATCATAAGCATTAGTACAGTACTTTCATGTATTTATATTTATAGTTTTTTAACTTCACTTATATTTATTTACATTATTTTAATTCTTTATTTAGGGGTCGTTTAAATGTGCTAGCAAATGTATGTCGCAAACCTCTCGAGCAAATATTTGCTCAATTTAGTGGTCTTGAACCTGCTGATGAGGTAAAACTATTTTCTTAGGTCTTTTTTTTTCTTTTTTATACATATAAAAATAAGTGTAATGATTACTTTATCATCTTCAGGGCTCTGGTGATGTGAAATACCACTTGGGCATGTGCCATGAACGTTTAAATCGACTTACAAACAAAAACATAAAACTGGCTGTAGTAGCTAATCCCTCACATTTAGAAGGTTTGTTCAGTTACTTCTATTTTAAAAAAATATGTGTCTTAAAATTATGGAAATGGTCGATTATCTCTAGAAAAAGTCATTGGATCAAAAATCTAAAAAATATATGTATAAAATATGTTATAAAATATGTCTACCAAGCTTTGTTTCTGCATTTCATCTCTTGGGGCAAAGTGAAGGCAACTTTAAAATCTTAAATGGATTCTCCAGAAAAAATAATCACAATGTGATTAACATTTTAATTCATAGATGTCACTACAACTGCGAAGTGAAAATCGAGTAAAAGTTTTTAAAAATGGAGGTATCTCAAAAAATACATGTCATGTTGATAAAATAAAAATAGTCTTGTGTGATGTTTTAAAATACAAACTAATGACACCAAACCTGATCTGCAGTTCGAAAACCAGTCCTCCTGTCTGCAAATCTCTCTTGTTAAGAGATATTGTGACTTAAAAATAACTTTGTAACTTAACTCTTACTGTAACTTAAAAATTAGGTATTTATCTTTGTAAAATATTTTTTTTTCTGTCTGTTATTATTTCATAAAGTCTAAATTTTATTTTGAAAATCAAACAGGGAGATGAATTTTGGATAATATTAAAATTGTGTCACTTATTAATACTAAAAAGCATATTACTCTTAATTATTTGATGATAACGAAATTATATTATTTTTTATCTGATTTTTGGAATGTTTACTATTTCAAAAATATATTCTGTAATCGGTATAATTTTATCACAAATTTATTATTCCTGCAAAATTCTTAAATAACACCTTTATCTTTTTTTTTTAATTAGATTTCATATTTTAATGTTTGAAAGCCAGTTCATAATCAGTTTATTTGTGAAAATAAAGTAATTTAAAAGCACAATTAATATTTTCACATTCCATATACATTTTTACTTCATGAAGTTTATTTTTAACTGACTTGTGTTTTAATTGTAGCATGTGACCCTATTGTGCAAGGAAAAACAAGAGCAGAGCAGTTCTATAGGGGAGATACTCAAGGAAAAAAAGTAAGTAAAATTTGATTAATAATTTTTTCTAAAAATTTGCATGAGATACTCCTTGTTTATTACCCGAATTCTTGTCAAAAATAAAGTAAAAATATTGACACAATAGGGCATGGCTTATTATGAGAATTGCAGAATTAGAAACATTCTGTTTGCCTGAGAGAGGGTGAAAATAAACTCTGTATAAATCAACTTATGTAAAACAATATGAATTAATGATATTTTTTTAATGGGTTTTGTTTTTCTCCCGAGTATTAATTTGTAATCTCTTATATGACTATATTTTTGAGTGGTTATAATAAGTGATTTTAGAACACCTTGTATGTTGTCTTCCTCCTAGTGTATGCCTCCAAGAATGTACAAATGTGCCTCCTAGAGTACGTTGAGTCACTGCTTGTAAACTTTTTTTTAACAAAATTTATAATAAAGGTTAGTTTTGTTAATATAGTTTAGGTGATAGTTACATTTCAATATTTACATTTAAGTGAAAAATAATCCCTAATAGTTTTCAAAAGGTAAGAATTCATTCCTTAATATAAGATTTTTTATTCAATTCACCATGTGTTATATTTGCTTTTAAACTCTCACTTAATTTTCATCCAATTTTTACTCTCTCAACAGGTTATGAGTATTTTACTTCATGGTGATGCTGCATTTTCAGGACAGGGTGTTGTTTATGAAACTTTCCATCTTAGTGACTTACCAGATTATTCTACCCATGGCACCATACACATTGTTGTTAATAATCAAGTGAGATTCTTAAGATGCTCTTATAAAATCATTAACATGCTTGTATAATTTGTCTATGGAAAGAATTCCCCCTGCCACAAAGTCTAAATCCGTCTGCTGCTCTAGAAACAACAAACAACACATTTCAAAGAGAGGAGCTTCACTCTCCTCTGATTTCTTTATTTTTTTTCCAGCTATATTTTTAAACATTTTTAACATGCTGTGTTAGAGCTATAAGATAAGAAAAACTGGATATTATAAACATCAATTGATGACTCTGTATTGATAGCTAGCATTGCATTTTTTTTTTATTATTATTATTTCTGATTGATTTACTAAGATTTTTCCACTGAGCAAATAGTTTAATTATACTTTATGATACAGATATGCCAAAACATGTCATTTTGCACCAGACAGAAAAATTATCTAACAAATTGAAACTTTGAAGAAAAAAAGGCTAACTAAACTCTGGAAAATCTGCATTATGCACTATACTGAGTAGAGTTTATTGTGCATGGTTTTATATCTTTTTTTTCCCCATCTTCAGAGAACGTTTAGCTTTTTCTTATTTACAACAATGCGATTTTGTTTGATCCATTTTAAAGATTGGTAACTTTATTATAAATATGGCAGTTTTTTGTTATCATTTCCTCTTAACTTTCAACGCTTAATTTTTATCTCTACTAAGTGAAATTTAGCTCTTCAAATTGGTTTTTATTCTTTTTCAATAGCGAATCTCGTGTTACAATTTGTATTAACGATATTTTCAAAGTAGACATTGAGATTCACATTGAAAAGATTTAAGAATCACTATTGTGATTGCAATTTATATTCATCTGATTTTTTAATCATATTTTGCTATTCATATTTTTCTGATTTGCAAATTACATGTCTCAACTTAATCTTGACTTGACACTTGAATAGTTAAAACACACTTGAGATTCCGCTGTATCAACGTAGCATTTCATATACAAATAACACTTGGCATATTCACGCAATTGTAAAATCAAGCAAGATGGTTATAGCCCATAAAAATGTTTTAATTTTGTCTATGTATGACTCAAAGGATTAGTTATAGAAACTTATTAAAAGCAATTAATTTCGTTACAATCAGTAAGTTGTATACTAATATTAATGCGTGTCTATTATTTAGATTGGATTCACAACTGATCCCAGACGATCTAGATCATCTCCTTATTGTACTGATGTTGCCAGGGTAGTGAATGCTCCTATCTTTCATGTCAATGCAGATAATCCTGAAGCTGTAGTGCATGTTTCAAATGTTGCTTCTGAATATCGAGCTAAATTTGGAAAAGATGTTGTTGTAGATTTGGTAAGTTCCTGATTTAAATTATTTTTCTCAAAATATTAACATTTTAAAAGCTACTAAATTAGAATACAGTTTCTAAAATATCTGGAGGTATTTAAAATCTTATTGTTAAAAAACTACAAGTTTAAATAACTTTAGATATCCTTGGCATTTAGTTATAGAAACATAAAAATATTCACCTTTCTGTATTAAAAAACTTTATTTATTAAAAATGTTTTGCAAATATTTAATGTTTGCTCTACAGTTTTGTATATCATCTGCTTAAATCTCTCTTAGGTATTCAATTCATTTTGACTTCTTGATCATCTTTGGCACCTATTCTTCTGGTCCATATTTAATTCACAATTATTTTTCCTTTAAATTCAGGCTTCTTTGAAATATTGTGCTTGTTTTCTTCATTAATGTGGCATTGTAACAGTCATTCATTCGTGAGTTATTTGTTATTATACCAGAAAGCCGAAGTTTGAAAGCTATGTTCAGGTTAAAAATAAAACTTTTTGCTTGAAAGATATATTTAATTTAGACAATAGCAAAATTCAAAATAGCTGGATGTTAACTCTTATTCTACTGTGCAGTTATTTTTCCAGTAAATTCATGCTTCTATGAACTATTCATCTCTTTATTCCTGTAATATTGCACATAATATTCCTCATTGGTTGAATTATAAATTACTATACGAACAGAAGCATTTCTTTAAACAAGGTTCCCACTGGTCAGGGAGAATAGGGAAAACTTTGAATGGTCAAGGAATTTTATTTCAACTTCAAAAATCATGAAATAGTCAGTGAAAGTTGCAATTTTTTACAAAAACCTGGAATATTCCTTTATCATACCTGGAAAATGACCAGTCTTAAAATTGTCAGTAACAGTAAACAATTATTGAGATTCAAGTTAAATAAATCTAACATCTATTTAAATTATTTGTAATAAAAATTTCACATTTTAGTCAAACTAAAATGTTCCCATCTTTATTAATTTATATTTTTTTACACTGAAAAGCTAATAATTCACATTAACAAATAAAAGAATCAAAGTTTTTGATGAAAATATGGTCTCAATTTTTATTGAATTTTACCTGGAAAAGTCGGGGAAATTTTTGTTCTGAAATTGAGTAGGAACCCTGATTAAAAACTAGGGTTAGTTAAAAGCAAAATCTTCAGCCAGAAAGCAATGATAGGTTCATTTGTAAGGCTTAAGCAAGCAACATTTGAAGTTAAATGCCACTCATGTGTTTTCATTTCCAATTGGTTATTTAGTATGTTCATACCATGAAACTTCTGTATCTTTTCTGCGATTATCTGTGAGTTCTTTCTTTATATCTTTATATTGTATCAAAATGTTATTTTAAGTGTGAGTATAGTTATGCATATCTCGCTAATGCATGCATTTAATCCATTACATTTAATCCAATATGTAAAATTTTGTTTTCTTGACTCTGTATATCAACAGTTACATTCTTGAGATATGTTCATTTTGTAAATAATGATTTGTTATCTTTTGTAGGTGTGCTATCGTCGTAATGGGCATAATGAAATTGATGAACCAATGTTCACTCAGCCACTTATGTATACTAAGATAAGAAAAACGCTCCCAGTTCTTGATCAGTACAGTCGACGTCTTGTTGAAGATGGAGTGGTCACTGAAAAGGAATGTGAGGTATGAAAATAACCTATCTTTATATCAAAAATAACTTACCAAAACATCAAAACTTATCAAAAATATATATTTTTAAAAATTAACTAACTTTTTAAAATAAAAAAAAGCATTCATTTGACACAACAATCACACAGCAACAAAGCAAGAAACAATTAAAATACCCATTACGGTGAGTATGTAATACAAACAAAAAGCAACTCACTCTCCGGCGTTCTAAAAAAATTTTCCTTGTTCTTTTTATTTTTTCCTGATCTTGTTATGTTTTTTTTTTTTTAAATTCATCCTTGTGTTAGCTACATTTTTTTCAGGACTCTATAATAGTATTTTTTTTCTTTTTTTGTCTAATATTGCTCATTAGCTGATAAATCTTTCATTGTTGCAAATTCAAAATATGGGCTAATTTTAAAATTTCGGATATATTATATTTTTATTTTGTGTACCCTTGCATAAAAACTCAAAAGGAATAAAAAAAATATGAGAAAAGCTTAAATTTGTTATGAGGCAAAAAAAGAAAAAAAAATGAATAAAAAACGTAATAAGAGACGTAATATTTTCTTGATCAGTACAGTCCTAAAATTATCTTAAAAAATTATCTAAAATTATCCCTAGAAAATTATCTTAGTCAAAGGATTGAATATCATGCAGTTATTTTTTAAAAAAATCCTGATGTCTAGTAAATAATGTCTTGCAAAAATTTTTAAAAAAATTTTAAAACTATTTTAATGTTATGGGCAATGTTTTGTTTCCATAAGTGCTTTTGATCAATTGATTTTAATTCATATTACATCTCCTTAACTATATCGATTTCTGCATTTGTGAAAAATATTTTAAGTGTTTTTGTTAGCGAATTTGTTAAATTAAAAGTATCACACTACCTCAATTTGCTAAGATTATCTCCTTTTTTATGAAATAGAAGATATTCAAATGGAATCAGAGTGGATTTAATTGAAATTAAATTCTTTATAACTTCAAGTAAATTAAAATCTTTTTATTCATTGTGGGCTGTTATTTTTAAGCACTTTATTTAAAAGATCCCTTCTAACCATGTTTAAAACACTGAATAAAAAACTTGTTTCCCCCCCCCCTTTAGAAATCATTAATTTGTTTATGTAAAATTTCAAATTTAACCAAATGATGTCTAGAAAAGGAGGATAACAATTTAGCTTAAAAAAATTAAAAACTTTCACTGAAATTGCAGCATTGAAAACTACATCTGTTTACCTGTTGTAATTTCTTGAAATAAAGTTCAAAAGTCTGATTTCAGTATTAGTGAGTTAGATAAAAGCAAAGAACAACAATGTAGCTTTAAAAAAATGACACTTCAGTAGATTAATACTTCTTTTAATTTTTTGAAATCTCAAAAAGCTAATTTCATTATTAGTGAGGTTGTTAAAATTTTTATAATTGAATATTTTAGCCTGCATTTTAAATCTTGATACTACAGCAATGAACAAAATTCAAGCAGCTGTGAAAAAAAGATATGAAATGACCATGACAAATTCCCACTTTTAGACAAATATTAACTCACGATTATAAATTAATTGTCCGTGCTGGCACCATTCTTATCTTATATAAATTACCTTATTGCATCTTCAGAAGTTTCCACTGCTGAAGATGCAAGTATTAAACTGCCTTTTGAAGTTTAGGAAACTTAAGTATATTGACATTTCCTTATTGTTATGGTTGTAAACAGTTGGTTGAAACAAATATGAACCCACAGTTATGAATTGCCCATTCTGATGATTGAAACATACATTAACCCCAATAAATTAATTTCCCAGCTGTTGATTGAATCGAATATTAACACAAAATTAAATATAAACAGCCCATGCTTTCTTATATAAATTTGAAGCAGATTGTAAAATTGAACTGGAAAAAGCAGTTCCCATTGCTGAAGCAGTTTAAAAATTAAATAGTTTGACATTTCCCTATTATCATGGTTGTGTAAGCTGTCGGTTGAAATGTTCTTGTTTTTATTATACAGTTACATACAGCTGAGTGTCAAACTGTAGTATTAGATAGAATGTTCTTGACATTTTGTTTTGTGCATAGTTAAATAGAGAATTATTTAGGTCTTGATATATAACAAAGCTTATGACTATATATTCTCCAAATAAATGAGATTTTCAGTAATAAAAAGTTTCTTACACACTCAATATAAAAAATTAAAAATGAAGTATAAAAAATTTAAACAGGAAAAGTTCTTATATTGTAAAAAAGGGTCTCTCTTTTTTTTCCAATCCTGTTTTTTGGAGGATTCAAATATAGAATCCATTTTAGGAGGAAGAAGCCAGATATGAAGCTATTCTTCAGGAAGCATATACTAATGCTGAAAAAGACACTCGAATGTATAATACTGATTGGCTAGATTCACCATGGAAAGGTAATATGCTAATTTATAAAAAATATCATGCAATTCTTATATAAATTAATCGCAAGGTTTGTGTGGAGGAATTTGTTTGCTACTAAATTTCAATATGAGCTACGAGTTAAATATTTAATTAATCATGTTCTGAAGCTGTACACGCAATTCTGATTTTGTTCAAGCAAGGGAGAAAACGTATATACAGTGGAAAATCATTGGACTTTGTCGTTGAGGGGAAAGTTTTAAATGGGTGCTAAAAGTTCCCATTAGTAGAGGTGAAGGTTTCTCAAGTACGTTAAAAACAAAAGTTTCTTTTTAAAAAATTTTGCTTTTTTTTTTATTTTCTCAAATTTTTTTTTCGCATTCTGTTGCAGGATCTTTCTGTTTGTAATCCAAAAATGTTACTGGATCTTTTTTTTTAATTTTTTTATTTTTTACTTTTGTATATCCAAAACTTATATACTTTCATTTATACCAATATAAAATGTGTCAGTTATTTTAGATTGTTTGTTTTGTATTTAATGTGTTTTGCTTGGACCTATATTTTTAGATATTTTTGAAAACTGACATTTATTTGCACTTTATTCATCCCTAGTTATTTCCTAAACTATTAACCCTTTCGCGACGAATATTNAATTTCTTATTAAGTTTTTTAAAAAATAATACATACATATAGTCTTGCATATTAATCAGTCCTTTTCATTTTTTGCTTGTGGGGCGTTGAAGAACATGTCCAATGTCGATTGCTTTTCTGTCTTTTTCAGGATTTTCCGGAAGTAATTAATAGCATTGTCGTTGTAAAGATCCCCAACCCTACTGACATCAGCTTGGTTTGGGTGCCATTCTAGGACCATTGCTCTGACATCCACCCACTTTTTCAAAAGATCTTTAATGGCAGATGTCGGCATTGGTCCTCTTTTGTCTTCCTCTTGTTCAGAAGGAGGCACATTTCGCCGTGTTTCTTGGTGTTCTTCATTCAAAATTTCTTGTAGTTCTTCTGTCGTTAGTTCATCTTCATGTCCCATTATGAGCTTTTCTATGTCATCCTCATTCACCTCCAATTCCAGATCTCTAGCAGTTGTCAAAATTTCATCCATAATTTCAGAGGTGTCTCCCTGATCACCTCCGTCTCCTTGAACGAAGGATGGACTTAGCTTCCGCCAAGCAGAAATCAACTGTCGCTGTGTGACTTCTGACCACGCCTTTTGAATGATACGAATAGCGTCAGGAATATCAAATTTTTCTTTCCAAAACTTTTTTAAAGTCATTGTAGAGGAGAATTGGCTTGCTTCAAAACACTGACGAAACAGCGCGCGAGTGTACAATTTCTTGAAAGCAGCAATAACCTCCTGATCCATCGACTGAATCAGCGAAGTCGGATTCGGAGGTAAAAACTGAACTGTCAGCCAGGGAAAGTCTGTCAACAAATTATCTTCAAGATCCTTTGGGTGTCCTGGTACATTGTCCAATAGCAGCAGTGCTTTCAATGGCACAAGTCATTGGCATCAGGGTAGTCCTTGATGCTCGGGGCACAACCTTTAAATAGCCATTCTTTGAAAAGATACTGCATGACCCATGCCCTCTGATTCGATCTCCACATTACTGGCAGTTTGCTCTAAATTATGGTTTTTTTTTAATGCTCTGGGATTCTCAGAGTGGTAAACGAGAAGTGGTTTAAGCTTCACATCACCACTAGCGTTAGCTCCCATTTCTCATATTTCACGTATTTTTACGGCGGTAGAGCGTCATCGGCACCTTTATATTTTATAGTTTGCGCTGCTTGAAAAAATTAATAATTCGCTTCATTTATTCGCCATGTTAGCAAATCCATTCGCCCTTAACTTATCAGCTGTCAGAAAATATTGATGTTCATATTGAAATCGAAATATTCAAGTGTGTATTGATTTTAGTTATAATAATAGTTATTGAATGACCTTTAAATTCATTGTTAATTCAAGTTTCATTTAGTAATTATCAATACTAAGCATGCTTTAAGCATTTCTCCTTTCAGTGATCTTATTTTATATGCAAAATGATAATAAATGTTTAATATTAATTTTTTTTCAGGCCTAGAAGTGTTCGCTAGAATTTGTTTTGTTCGTTATCGAAATATGTGTTCGCTGTCCGAACACAAAAAATCTTTCGTGAAAGTGTTCGTTAACCGATCACCCACTGTATTAGACCGTTTCTGTCCCAAAAGATTTTTTTGAAATTTGCTTGGGACGTATGTGTCTCGTTAGGCACGAAAGGGTTAAATCTACAGAAATGTGTAAACTGTTACATTTCTTCTAGGGGTTTTTATTTAAAATACTTTAAGCATTAAAACCTTTAGAACTTCTCCATTTAATTTTTCCTGTCAGGAACTAATGTGTAAAGATAACCTACCATTTTCCAAATGCAATTATCATTTTCTTGATGAAAATTGTTAAATATACTATATAGCTTGTCTAATTACATTTATCAATTATTAATTTTTTATAAAAAATTAAATGTAGGATTTTTTGGAACCAAAAATCTGTATAAATGTGATCCAACTGGTGTAGAAGAAGATGTATTGCGCCATATTGGTGTGGCTTTTGGCTCTTCACCACCTGGCAACTTCAAAATCCATCCTGGCATCAAAAGAATACTTAAAGCTCGAATGGAGATGGTCGATCATCGTCTTGTTGATTGGGCTCTGGCAGAAGCAATGGCTTTCGGTTCTTTGCTCAAAGATGGCGTCCATGTCAGACTAAGTGGACAAGATGTAGAACGTGGAACTTTTAGGTATTTTAATCATTTATTTTAACTTATCTATTTTACAATTTATTATGTAAATTATAATATTATAAACTCTAATTTTGTTAACTTTACTAGCTGCTACAAAAAATATCAAGCTTTTTCTCTTTGTAAAGTGCAATGTGTTGTTTTTATTTCTAGCCATCGCCATCATGTGCTTCATCATCAATTAATTGATAAAACAACTTACAGACCATTATGTCAACTATGGCCAGACCAAGCTCCTTATACAGTATGCAACAGTTCTCTGTCAGAATATGCTGTCTTAGGTATAAAAATAGTTACTAAAAAAAATTTCTTTTCTCTATAGTTTTATCTCTTTTTTTTTAATCAAATCTATTAATGTATGAAATTATATCAATGTAATGTAAATATTTGACAATCATAGTTCTAACATAAGCATTTATAAAATGTTAGTGCTGTTATAATTTTTTTGTGTTTGTTTTCAAAGATAGGAAAAAATTAAAAATAAAATGTTCACTCTTGTCTTTTAAAAACTTTAATGGAGTCTGATGATGCTTTTAAGCTTTCTTGTTTCTGAACTTTTATACTTTTCTGTAATCACTTTTCTAAAATCATAAGTTTTTGGGAGATAAATTAATGTTGTATAATAAATGCATAATTCCATTATAGTTTAAACTTTTCCACCTCAAAATATATTTTTGAAAATTTACTCACGAATAAATTACGGCATAAATGAAAACATTTGGATGCTTATTGATTTAGATTAATAACTTTCTGCAAATTAAAAGCATTGAGGGAATAAAATAAGTCAGAGGATTTCTATAAAAATTAAGCTCCATTTAGAGCATGTTTCTTGTTAAAAATGTATGTTTCTGTTTCATTAAAAATTAATTTTATTGGTTTGAAGTTTAAACAATTTCAACCACAATTTATTTTACTAAGAATAATTTAATGTAATTTGATTTGTAATTATTTCTTACTTATAGAGTGCTCTAATTCAAAATATAATAAGTTCTAAATATATTGTTATTAAATTTATTTACTTTTTTTTTCAAATACTTTCTGAAAATCAAGATGGAGACATATTTGTAATCACTGTAGTTAGTTTCACAAAGTTAATTATTCCTTAGTCTCATATAATCTGTGTGATTTTCAATACTGTGTTTTTCCTATTAGTTGCATTAGAAGCTTGCAAAATAAATAACACATCAAGATGCAAAAACTATGAGACAAAGCTTTCCGCTGTATGCGAGACCATTTTACTCTCAATATTTGCATGGACATCTGTTAAGTTTTCCCTCAGTTTGCAACCACAATATTGCTACAAATGGTTGTTACTCTGCAAACATAGTTTTGCATTTTTCTCAGTAGGTAGCACCACCAGTTGATAAGCTTTATGACAAAATTTAGAACTGAATGAAAATAAATTTTATGGTTTTATAAGCAGAATACAGCAAGCTCACCCTATCTATTTCCCTTTTTCTTTAATTCATTTTTCAAATTGTCAATCATTTTTGGAATACCATTAATTTAAATTTAAGCAAATTCTTGCCTTAGTTTGTTTAAACAAAAAATTTTAAAATTATAACTTATGCTGTCTCATTTAGGATTTGAGCTTGGTTTTTCAATGACCAATCCTAATGCTCTTGTTATGTGGGAAGCTCAGTTTGGTGATTTCATGAACACAGCTCAGTGTATCATTGATCAATTTATCAGTAGTGGTCAAGCTAAGTGGGTCAGACAGAGTGGAATCGTTTTACTTCTTCCCCATGGAATGGAAGGAATGGTGAGATAAAAACTATTCATTCAACTGATTTTAATTTATTTGCAAGTCAAAAAGGTTTATTTGCTAATGCAGAAATATGTACTAGTATCTAACAGTAAAGGGTTATTAAGTTATATTTTGAAGCTTTGTAGTCATTACTAATAGTTATCTTTTATAAAGTTTTATAAAAGAAGTCTAAGTAAGGAAGATAAATATTAAGATATTGTATATTAAGATATTGCTCAAATAAGACTAAGATATTGCTCAAATATACATGAACTGCTGTAAGCATTAAACTCTTTTTCTCATTAAAATCTGTATAATTCACAATACTATTTATCAATTAAGTATCTTCCCACATTTTAGCTAACATACATGGTTTTATAAAAGTAAATTTTATTCTAAATCTTATATTGTATATTTCCGAATGTAAGCCTATCTGTATGTAAGGCTAAGTCAAGGAAGGTGTATGCTGATTTGGCACTTATTAAGGGCTCATCGGACATATAATTTATTTTTTTTTAAATTTATTCTTGGACTGAAAACTTTACTATAATCATTGATTGTCAGTGGGAACATAAACAAGCCATTTAAGAAGCTTTAACTAATTAAATTACATTGTCATTAAAAGAGCTTTTATTTTTTTAAAAAATTATAACTTAAGACAGAATAGTACTTACAAAATTTAATATTTTTTTATTTATTTTATTATTTATTGAACTAACAGCTACCTATGGAGAAATTAACTTATATATAGATTTCAGATTTTGATCCCATCCCTGGAAAAAAAAAAATGTGACATATATCATGGTCCTTATTTTTATTGTTGAACAATAAATTTTTTCTCTAGGGTCCTGAACATTCTAGTGCCAGACCTGAACGTTTTCTTCAACTCTGCAATGAAGAGATGGATGTTTTTCCTGTAAGTAAGACTAATGCTTTTTCTTTCCACTACTTTTTAAAAACTAGAGATGTACCAGGTCCTAAAATTTAGTCATGTGCCAGGGGAAAATTTTGCTTGTTACCTGACCGATTCTGGGTACCCGATAAAATTTCAATTAATAACCTTAACGAGTATTATAACATTTATGGAAAACAATATAAAAATCTTACTATATATTGAAATTTTATTTTATTACCAATGTTTAACCAAAGAGTCAAGTGGCAGTTTTGTTGTCCTACTTTTGTTACGATTCTATCTCTGAATCCAAGTAATTTTAACCCTCCAAAATTTAGAATAATTCCTACACCAAGCAACAAACAAGAGGCAAATTTGTGCTCATGAGAATTTTTTTTTTCTGAAGTGAATAAGTATATTTCTCAGGGCCTGATTACCGAAAAGGCACAGGAAGCAAGTGCTTCCCCAGTAAAATTCTAGGTGGGGCCCCAAATGACTGAAATTAAGGGCCCAATTTCTTATTTTTTGCAAAAGAAATACGTAAAGAAGGGTCCGACATGATTGCATAAGATCTCTGTATTCCTTTCCAAGGTTCTAATAGTTTTCACATGGTTCTTGTCTCTTTAAAATTTATTGTTTATGGGCAAAAAATATCAAAAGTTTCTTTTGCTCAAGTTAGGGGGGCCCCAAAATCCTATTATGTTTCCCCTATTTTCAGAGGTTAATCGGGCCCTGATATTTCTGCAGGAGAAAAACCTTTCATGGTTAGCCTCACAGTACTAGAATTTTAACCAGTCTAGTTGGAAGTTAAATTGAGCTAATAAGTACGTAAAACACTCTCTATTAAAAATTCAGTTTAAAGTTAAGTGACCAATTTTATGAATATATGCTTTTTTTTTAGTGTAAATCTAAATCAACTTATACTGAAAATTTTATAAATTATTTGTGAATAAGTTTTTTTTTTTTTAGTTATGTAAAGATAAGTTTTTTTTTTTTTTTTTTTAAATAAAAACTGCATTGAAAAAAATTATCTATAAATTTTTGTTAAAAGAACTGTCTCTGTTTTTTAATCTCTAATATCATGAGAATAATTTATTTGTCATTTGTGAGAAAATATTTATGTTTAGTTTCCAACTGTTATCTATTATTCTTTTGATTATGAATTTATTAAGTTACATTCAGTGCCGAACAATTAATTGTGTGTAGTTATAAAATTGTATAAATAAGCGCTATCCTGTAAAAAAAAATTATTTAATATTACACAATAATTCATCTTGTGTTCCTTCTCCTTTCATATCTTTAAATTTTGTGATTTCAGACAATAGATGAAGATTTTGCTGTCAGGCAACTTCACGATTGCAACATGATTGTAGTGAACTGCAGTACACCTGCCAATTATTTCCATGCTTTAAGACGTCAAATCATTTTGCCATTCAGGAAGCCTGTAAGAGTTATTGTTACTTTTTTATTAGAAAAAAAAAAATTTTGTTTCTCATGTTTCAATTTTCTATTTGTTTATAAAAAGAAAGCTAATTTAAAAATTAAAATAATGTTTGGTTCCACAATGGTAGTTTTAGTAGCACAAACATAAAAAATTAATGAACTAATTGAACGTTACTACTATTGAATTATATTCATTCTTCGGATCTCTGGAAAAGTAACTTTTTAAATTTTTATTTGGCAATAGTATGAGTCTTCTTAATATTAATTATTATTACTTTTTAAAAAAAATTCCTTTAGTTTAACTGTTTTTAACTGAAGCAATATGACTGCTAAAAAGCATTATCTATTATCAGATTAAATTTCGAAAGTTACTCTTTCAGGACAATATATTAAATAATTTGCTTTATTTTTTAGTATAATTTGTGTTAATAGATCTCCATATTTTAGGGGCAATGGTAGTAAATGTTTCCTTTCAAATATATAACAATTATAACTAACGGTTTTTCTTTGAAGTAACAACATTAATTTTCAATATTCTTATTGAGTATTTACTAATTATAACTTGTTCTCAACTATTTCAAACAAATTTATTTACTGATTCAATTGCTATAATTGAAAGCTGATCTATAAAAGTAACAATAAATATATATAATATCATTAAGTTTTCTTTAACCACCCAGCAACCTCCAACAAAGATCAAGCTGTTGATAAATCTTGGGAGGGCCTTCGAACAACTTGTCTCCCCAAAACGGTTCCTATAGCTGCTGGAATCTCATCCTTCCGATTGTGCACTGGACGTGACTACCTTCTAGCACACTTGCATAGTATTAAACTTGCTGGCTCTCCTGACTACATTTTGTCTAAGGGACATGTAGGCATGAATGGCGAGCATCTATGGAACTGTTCCGCCTTCAAAGATGCTGATAGTTCTTATTTCAAGACTCTCTCCACTCCCGGAAGTACATCTTATTTGTATTGGACTACATAACTTCTTATGTTCGAAAGAGCAACTGAAGAACATAATTTTAAAAAAAAGGTTTTCTTTAAAAAGTAAATTATCAAGAAACATTTGCATTGTCTTTTTATAAAATGTATAAGTCTGCAGATTTTCAAATGAGAAATTGAATTCTTCTATTAAGTCAAAAAAATCTTATATATAAAAATAACAACTTGTTAACAATGTCTTAATTATTAGTAATTTTTTGACACTAAAACATTTTTTGTGATAAAAACTATTTTATTAAATTTTAGGTACATTTAAAAAAAGCTTTAGTTCTTTTTTGTGTTGTAATTTGGTTAGGTGAAATTCTAGTTAATTTTTGAATTGTTCAGTCATAATTATTGATTCATAATATCATTGAAATGTAGTTATATAATGAAACCTTTAGGTTTGTTTAATGCTACTCCATTTTTACCCCAAGATTTCAATAATTTTTCTTTTGTTGACTTGTTCATATACTTTAGTAGATTTATTCTGATTCATATACTCTACATATGCTGTGCAAAGGGTGTGATATGCTATATAATGAACTGCATTACTGATCTATTGTATTATGAAGCCTCAATACATATTTTAGAAACTATTCCATTTTTTAAATTTGTGTTAATATTATTTTATTGATACATGGAATATTTTATGTTAGTTAATTTTTTTTTTTGTTAGAATAACTAATTTTGCTTTTAATTTTTTAATGGAAATCTACTCATCTCATAGGTAAGTCAGAATTTTAAGTAAAAAAAAATTTTTTTAAATTAAGAAATAATTTATTTTTTGACAAAACCATTTACCATTCTTTACCATTTGTTTAATCTATCTCATTCATTTTTATTATAGAACAATTTTAACGTAAACTAAGCAATTTATCTTCTTCCTCCAATGCCTAATGGCCAATTTTCTTTTCTTAAAATACTAATTATATTATTATAAATGTGCCATTAAATCATATATATTATTTGTTTGTTCTTTAATGTGTCTAGCTAGGTTTATTACACTTTTTTTACAAGAAGGTGATGGAGTATGTATAAAATGTAATTCAAATTCTGAAGAAGAAAAAAATTTAAAGCAAATTAAAAATTATAGTTTTTAATGAAACAGAATATTTATAGCTACAAATACTGAAAACTAAATTGAATTTTTATGCTAAAGTATCTTTATAATAAAATTTTAAAAAATTTCTTTCTGACAAACATTTTAGAAATATTGCAATAAAATTAAAAACCACAACACATCGTTATTTATTGTTCATAAAAATTGCTCTTAGTAGAAAAAAAAATTCTTGACAAACTTCTGTCATTCTTGCATTATGAAATAAGAAATCAGCAAAATTTAAATTTTTTTGAAAAATCTAGTAACTAAAGTGTTGATTTTCTCATTAAACATGTCTTCCTGAATTCATTTGAAATATTTTTAACTTTAAAACAAATATACCATTAAGATTTTATAAGTATGGTCATAATCTGAGCTTAAACACCAAACTAGTCATTTCTGTACTAAATCCTAGTTTTAAACCTAGTCTGGTACCTTAAATTTTTTTATGAATTTAATTTGCAATGCAAATATATTGTTTCATTTTTTTTTTAATTACTTTGTACAGCTTATTGTTTTTACTCCAAAATCCCTCCTTCGTCATCCTGAAGCTCGCTCTTCATTTGATGATATGACTGCTGGTAAAGTATAATTTATTACACATATTAATATTTTCTATTATTCTTCATAATTTTTTTTTTTCACTCTTCTTGGATTTTGGTCTGATTTCTCAGCTGCGGACTAAAAAAGAATAATAATGTAATGAATAATTTTGAATAATATAATGAATAACTTTTAAGAATATAATCAATGTAATAAAGATTTGTATTCAGAATAATTTAATGCCATTCACTAAATGACAGTATTAATGCTAAAATTTAAATTTGTAGTATGTAAATTGTATAGTANATAGTAATTTTTTTTTTTTTTTGTAATAAAAATTTTTTTTAATTTCCTGTGTGGAGACAAAAAAAAAAAATTTTTTTATTTAATATAAAATATTTAAGCTTCAATCTATTTTTGTTTCATTCCTTTTTGTGTAGACAGCTAAGCATGTAAAAATGAGAAATTATTTATTGATTTAAACGTTTTCAATTTATCTATAAAAAAAAATCTCTCTAAATTGGCAAATTCTTAAAACGAAATCAAGAATTTTTTTAAAACTATTTTAATACTATTAGATACTTCTTTCCAACGTCTGATTCCTGATAATGGTCCTGCCAGTGAGAATCCTGGAAATGTTGAACGAATTGTCTTCTGTACAGGCAAACTGTACTATGAATTGTCGAAAAAGCGAAAAGATAGCAATTTAGATTCATCTGTTGCAATAGTTCGAATTGAACAGGTAATCACATCATAAATATATCTATTTTATAAATATATCTCTTTTATCATCCTCCATTCGAAATCAATTTATGGATTACTGAGTAATTTTCTAAGAGTTAACCCACTTAATTAGGTGTAGTTAGCCAGCCCTTTTAAAATAAAGCATTTTCAAGGTTGAAATTAGGTATTTTTTATGAGATGTAAAGGAGTTTGAAATTGAAATGTATTCACTGAGTATGTAATCAGTGCAGGCCTGATATCTGCCTGAAGTGTTTTATTTTTACACCCAATAAAAATTAATTTCTATCTTAAGTATTTTATTTTTCGATTCATCAGGGTTGCAAAAAAACCGGGTTTTTGTAGAAAAACCCAACCCGGGTGGGTTTTATTGGGCTTTTCTGGGTTTTTCATGTTTTTTATGGGAGGTTTTTCAAAAGAGAGGGCAGGGATAAGTACCTTATTTTAATATTAATAATTAATTTTTATTTTATAAATTGACTTCATATAGATGATTAATACAAATAAATTGATGTGAAAGTCTAAAAAAAAGTTTCTTCTGACATCACGATACAAAATGTTATATGTACTCACATACATCACGCATTTAAAACTTATTTTAACACAAGATTACTTTTTATTTATATTTTATTCTTAAAAAATATTTGAGGAAAATTTTTTATTTGCATAGAAAGCGAATCAATGGCCATACAGTCAAATCTAGCCAGCAAGGTGACTCCAGTCTCCAACACAATTAGTTTCTTTACTATAGGTTAATTTTTTTTAGGCTAGACTACATATATATTTCAATAGAATAGCTCTTTAATATAACAGAGGATTAAAAAAGTAATCAATCTTAGAAAAACCCAGTAAAACTCACTTTAGGGTGGGTTTTTCAGAGTGGGTTTTACCCAGTAAAAACCGGGTGGGTTTTTTGCAACCCTGCGATTCAGGCTATTTTTTGCCAACCTAAGGAGTTTAACCAATCTCTTGTTAATTTTGTACTTGATAGAAATTTGCTGTAATGAATGTAAACAATAACCTTATATATACCTAAAGTGTAAAGTGTGCTTCATTATTTGCACACCTTAGGATATTGTTTGCCAACCAGTTGTTTGTTTAATCTTATCCATTTTAATTTTTAACTTAAAGGTTTAGATGAGGTTTAAGTGCAAGTTTAAATCTCGAATCAAACTCTGTGTTTTATTTCAACTCCTATTAGAAGCTATTTATATTGACCTTTGGACTTTTCCTTACCCCTTAAAATATGGTTTACTAAACTAATGTGTTGTATTTTCAACTTGCAGGAATTATATACAGTGGAACCTTTCAGGAGCGATCCATTCCACAGTAAAATAGTGGTTGAGGGAGATTGGTCGCTCTTAGAGGTTACCTCCTTTGACTTCAAAGTTATTTTGATTGAAAGTACATGATTTTTCGCCAACCCCTTTAAATTTAGTCAGTGTCATTTTCTTAGTGCAAAAATGCCACTTTTGTTGGTGTCATAAAAAGACGCATCAATGAATAAAATACAGTGTCTATAAAAAGGATCCTAACTGATATAATTAAGTGTAAAACAAAATTATATATGATGATAAAGCTATTTTAAATAAATAAATATGTTTTTTGTTTAAGCTCACATTTAATTTTGTATCATAAAAATTAGCTTTGAAAGATAAGAGGTTTGTTTGCTTGTTTTTTTAAAAAACTTTTTTTTTCTAATTTAACTTTCAACTTTAGAAGTAAATCATCAATTTTGAAAAAAGCATAATTATTCTTAATTGAGATGTAATTTATCTTTGAAAAATATATTTTCAGCTTTGTCCTTTCCCATTTGATCTTGTTAAGGAAGAATTAGATAAATATCCTAATGCAAATTTAATTTGGTCCCAAGAAGAACATAAGAACCAAGGATATTGGTGTTACATTCAACCGCACATGGAAACAGTCTCTAACCATGAACGTCATATTAGGTGAGTTGTCATTCGATTATTTTAATCTTTATGTACCAGTCATTCATGATATGTGTCAATCAATACGGTTTCCAATTCATTGTAAAAAATTATAAAATTATCTTGTTTTCTAATCATTTTTAGTAAACTATTTGTGTGTTAGTTCTATATTCTATGGAGTATTATATATTGAACTCTTGCAAATTGGTTATTCTAAATAATGGTTATAGCTGCATGTTTTCATTGCACAATTAAAACTTTTCAAGGAATTTTCTCATTTGGTTGAATAACTTGTGTTTTTTAATCGTTAAATAAATGTATTATTTGTACTGGAACCCCTATTCAAGAATGCTAATTGAAAAATTTAGGCTGTAACTATAATGAGTTTAAAACAGTTTCCATGGACCTTGAAAGTCCATAAAAATTTAGTTTTGAATCTGACTTTAATTTTAACTATAGTTAGTTGATTCAAACAATTTAGTCTTAATAGATTTCTAAAACAAAACAAAAAATTCATTTTCTTAAAAACTATTCATACTATAATGAATACGTGAATGCTTGCAATAAAGTGAAATTGTGTTTTTTTTAAAAAATTTATAATTATTTTTCCCTATACAGCAAGTAACAGTATGTATACGTATGTATATTTGATAATGAAAAATTAATATAATATTTTTGGGACCTTAATTTTTGTTTTGATAAATAGGTGAGAATCTTGTAAAATAAGAAAAATAAAAAAAAATCTTTACTGTAGTTTCAGGCAAGGTGCTCAGTATTTAGTAAAAAGAAACACTATTCATAAATAAAATTATTTTTTGGATAAAATCTGAAATGCTTGTAAATTACCAAATATAATTTAAAAAATAAATATAAATTTCTTTCATTTACATCTTGCAGCTATGCTGGACGAGCCGTGTCTGCTTCAACAGCTACAGGAAGTAAACAAGCTCACAAGAAGGAGCAAGAAAGAGTTGTCTCTGTTGCCTTGGGCTTATAAAGAAGAAAATTTTGTTCTGTGATAAAGACTGTACTCTATTAAAATGCCTGGATTTTGTATACAAATTAGGTGCAATTTTGCACTTCAAGACCTTTTAAAATAATTTAAAAACTGAATTTTTTTTTTTAAGTTTCGCAATTTTATTTATTTTAAATCTAAAGATCAAAAATGAGTTTGCCTTTTAAACCTAGTAAAATTATTCCCTTCTTTTTAAAGTGAAAAAAAAAATTATTACTCTTAGAGCTAAAAGATTGTAGAAAACGGAAGTCCTAGAAACTTAATTTGTGCTTAGTACTTCTACATTATTACAGCACTATTTATTAGTAATTCTTTACTGAAAAGAAACTGGGAAATATGAAAATAAAATTATATTTTGGAACATTGATTTTGTTTTCTTGTCTTTTTATTTAGTACTTTACATACTAAAAAGAGGGGCAAAATGGTAATAGTTTAGTTGTTGATAAAAGTTGACATGACGCTTTTTAGACCTACGATACTTTGAAACTCTATTTATGTTGTTTTATTCAATTTAGAATGCATGTTTTACCGTTAATTCGTTTTTTTTTAACCATATAATTATAATAAAATCAAAAGTTAATTATTATTTTAAACTTTTCTATTGTTTTATATATGTATTTTTTAAAGTGAATTCTAACTGATACAAGAAGTTAATTTAACTATGGTCCATAAAAAATAACTATATGAAAACTGCTCAAAATATACAAAAATTGTGAACGAATCTCACTAAGTGTTTTTGAAATGAAACTGCCCTATCAGTAAAAGCTTTTAATAATTAAAGTATGTAGTACCTGGGATAATATTGTATTTTGTTGCAAGTCTTTGAAATTTTAACGCTTAAGAAATATCTTAGAGTATTGAAATTGAATATGCTAGATAAATAATTATGTTTCTATAAATTCTGTTGTAAATAAAAAAAATATTTCAGGCTTAAAATTTAAGAGTCAATTTATCTGCCAAAGTTTACTTATGTAATACTAAATTACCATCATAAATTTTAGATGTATGTATAAAAATTAAAAATAGTTTAATTTTTTAACCCAAGCTATCTAATTTCACTTACCGTATATTCCGGCGTATAACGCGCACTTTTAACACAAAAAATAACATTGGAATTTACGGGTGCGTGGTATACGCCGAATAAAAAAAATTATAGATTAAAAAAATTTCAATATAGAAAAATACTTTTATTTTAAAGAAATAACATACCTTTACCTATATACTTTATTGATTTTCGTTATTACATAAATAGTTCATTATATTCGTCTTCCGTTATTTCTTCAGGCGCGTCATCACAATCTGTTTCGTCTTCATCATCTGTGTTACCCTCATCCATAAATGGCTAAACTAATGGTGTCAATCCGCCCGGAATAACTGCCATATCGGTGTTACATTCTTTCAACAATTTTTTTGTATTATCTGTACCTAAACATGTCCCACACTTAAAGGCTTTCTGGTTTTCTATAGATACTAGACGAGATACTGCACATGTACAATCCAAATTTTCGTGCGCGTTATACGAGGAGTATATCTTAAGATTTAAAAAAAGTTATTCGAAATTACGGGTGCGCGTTTTACGCCGGAATATACGGTATTCATTATTTTTATATGTTGATCAAAAATATATTTTGCAATGCAACTCCCAGAGACTCCTGTCATTAACTTATAGTTTTTTGAATATAATATCATGATTTAATGATTATAAATATGATTTAATCAATGATTTGATGATCATTGAATATGATTTAATAACTATAAATCACAAAAATTACTTAATCATAGCAAAATTTCTCATCTGCTTATTTAGCCTGTTTTCTTCAATTTTCTAATAAGATGCGCAAATACTTAACTTACAAACTGAGTAATTAATCGCTTTGTGACAAGATATAACAATGATGATAGATCACATCACATAACGTAGCAAGTGTTTTGTCACACTGTAAATTCATTAAGTTTTATCATTCACAATCTTTTGCTTTACATTACGCCATGTTTCGTCATAGTTTTTATTTCCTAATTTTGTATACAACTTTATGATGTGAATCTACATCTCTGTCAAATTGTGCATTTGAGTGAACTCTTTTTAATACAGTTTCAAATAGTTATATCAGTGCCATGTGTTGTCATATCTATTTTAAAGGCCAAATATTTTATTTTTATGATCATTGTCACACACGATGACATATAATATCTAAACTTGTCAGTCTTCTTTAAATACATTAGTCTTTGCCTTTAGTCGCCCATCAAAATAACGCTTAAGTTGCATTCATGAGACGAAGTAGACAATTTATTTTGCTCAAATGGTTGTAATTTCTTTTAAAATTAACTGTATTTGGTACTTACAAGAACAAACACACTGTTGCTTATATACAGTAAGCATAATTATGAAATTCATTAGAAAAAATCAATTTAAGTTAAAATGTAGGCTGTGTGAATTAGTTATAATTTGTTGGATAAGAATGGACAACTTTTCATTTTGTGATTTGGCTAGATAAACTTCTAAGCGAACTTAAAATTACCATGTAAATATTTGCTTCTCTGTTCTAAATGTGAAAAATATTACGGTTCTAAAGCCTGCAAAGAGGTTTTTAATTTTCTCAAACATACACAAAGCAGAGCTCATTACTTAGTAAAACTAGTTGAACATCTTTTTTCTGGCTTCAAAAATCTTTACAATGTGAGGCAAATATTTAAAGTGAAAATGAAACAATTAAAATACTCCATCTTTCTATCATGCATTAAGAGCACACAAAAACCAGTTTCCCTATTTTTTTTTTATGGTTTACTTTTTTAGTGACTCAAAAATACCTGATTTTTTTTATATATATATATCTGTTGAAACACGTGATACTTAACATAATGTGAAAAATCTTGAAATATGGTAGCCAAAAGCCGATTTTTAGTTTTTAATTACGAGAAACAAAACACACCCTCTTGAATTTTATCTTTAAAAATATGGAGAACTTAATTACTACAAACCACTTTCAATTTTTTTTAATTAAAAGTGGCACCAAAAAACGGATGAAAAAAAAAAAATTACTAACGTTTTGAAAATATGAGCCGTTTCGCAGTGCTCGTTAAGACACGGTTACTAGCAAATCACCGAAGCCCAACAACACTGGCTGCGGGAAGTTGAACACTTGGATTAGTCTGCGTAGGGACCGAGGGTGTGCGGTATTGGTCCTCATTAAACTGTTCTACCCTAAAGTAAGTAAACGGGGTGCCATCCCTTCCGCAGAGGATCAGAATTGTGATGGTATGCTTTCGGATCATCCTCAGGGATGTTTCCCAGACCGACGCCAATAGCCCATTGTGTAGCTCTAGTGTGACGTAAATGAACTACAACAATTAGCCACTTTTTCTAGTTGCGCCATTTACCTAAATGTTACGCTCTTATATCTATTATTAAAACTAATTAATTAAAATCACCTGCTGCTGATTGAACTTGTGTGAATTGCAAGCAGTAAAAACGGTCCCTTAAACTGTTATTCTAGGTTAACGAAGTTACAGAGTAGTAGAAATAGGCAATCAAATGACATTTATTGAAGCAGAGTTCAATGAAGTGAAAAGAACTCATGAAAAAAAATGTAAATAAACAAAAGGAAATCTTAAAAGTTACGAAACGAATTGAAATTTATTCTGAAATATTAAACATTTCAATAGCAAGAATGTTTTCAATTGTGAAAACTCACTTACAAAAAAAGTATTTTACTATGCTCATATTTCAGTCTTCTCTGTTAAAAGTTTATGTAGCTTTTTGTGTTGTGATTTAAATGTCTTTTTAGGAAGACTAATTGAGCAATGTATTTTTGTTTTTAAAAAAATGAGTACTTAATATGATAGTTCAATGATTTCACGAGATCAATGTATTCCAAGTTTTTTTTCTGTATCAATGCAATTGAAATAAGTTTAATAAATTAATCAATGGTATGGGGATAAAAGATTGTCGGGTAGACTATATTTGAGGGTGCCCCTTGATTCTCGCCAAGTTGTGATCGCGGTTGATCGCCAGCTTGGGCGATTTTGAAACCCAATCGTGATCCTGATTAGTTTAGATTTTAGCGTTATTTTTAAATGTTCAACGGTACATGTAATTTCAGAGGTCCGTTAGTTCTGCGTTGGATACCGGCTGATAACGTTACTTTTGAATCTAGTCAATAAGATCGAAGGCATGTGGGCAGTCATAAAAAGGGATTTAAGAAAAAAATGTCACTGCTAGTCCGGTATTACAGACGCCATTTTCGATTCGTATTTCGTCGAATTTATGTGGCGATCGAAGTACACAGATTCTATTCATGATAAATTTAGACAGTATCTAACTGTTATTAGATAATTCTGTGCACCTAAATCTGAGAATATTCAAGCTTAGTGAAGAAGTGAGTTGTTTTTTTCCTTTTCTTTCTGCGCCTACTCCATTAATTTTTTTTTCGATTCAAAATCCTTTTTATTGGGTTTATTAATTTGGCTTATATTGGGTTCATTGCAAGTTTTGGCCGATGTTTCGTTGAAATTTTCCAATGTTTTATTGAAATATCATTATGTTTTGGCCGACATTTCGGATACCACGGTGTTCCGCGCAAACAGGAATAGTGCCAAACATAAGTCGCCAATTTTGCCAAGGGGCACCCTCAAGTATATTTTTCCCAAGATTGTCTATTATTAGGGTCAGATGTACTTACATTTCAAGGTTTGTTAGATCAATTTTACAGAGTATCATTTCGTATGTAATCATATTTACTGGATGATAATCTCTCTAGCTGATAAGAAATAACGATGCAATAGAAATGAGGAAACTATGCTAAATATGATGAAAATTGGTTGAGCCAAATATTCTGAAGGAGAAGACATTTTCTACAAAAAATAACTATAATTTAAAATTAATAATAATAATAATTAAAACATACCAAAGTTTCGAAGGAAAAAGCTAATTTTAATAGAAAAAATTTTACTAATTTTTATCATTTGAAAAATATGATTAACTTTAAAAAAGTATTTCTCATGATCTGAGATTTAAAAAAAAATAGTGTGTTACTCAATAGATTTTCAACAAACACCTCTCATTCTCTTTGGACATTTCACAAAACAATAGTATGAGCTTTATAATCTTACATTAATTAAATGATAAATGTCCTGAGTCATATCCTTATCTGAAGCACTGCAACTAGATTATCATTATGACATTTCTTCAATTTGAATAAATTTTAGACTCAATTGTGAAAATTAGCGAAAATTTTACACTATGCCGTTTAAAGGGACCAAAATTTTAAAATCTTAATCTTGAATCAGTAATTTATTAAAGAGGCATGGAAACATGCCAAAAATATCTTAGTTTTTTTTTTTTAATTATGAGGTTTTTTAGCTTTATTAATACATTAAATTCTCACTTTTTTACCAGTTTTTAAAGAACATGCATTAATAGAATTCATTTTGTGCATTGGGTTAGATTATGGGATCTTTTCTCAGTAATCTAAAGAATTTCGTATACGAGGCGTTACAATTAAATAATAGGACGTCTTAAAAATCAGCTTTATTGAAAATATTTTACACATACCTATAAGTCCCCTTCAACTTACTCCCATTCCTTTTCGATACATTGTTGCATATGCGTTTTCCATTGTTCAAAGCAATGTTGTAGACCTTCAGTAAATCTGCCGTTTTTACCTTCAACTCTTCCGCACCCTTAAAATGTATTTTCTTCAAAACACTTAATTTTCAAAGCACTTAATTTTCAAAAACTGTTCGAGCACAGTAATATATTTGTCTGCCAAGAACTGTTTCATGGAGAACGCAATGTGTGCCGAGGCATCATCTTGGTGGAAAACCCACAATCACCACAGATCTGGCTTTTCCTTCCTCACTCTTTCTCTAAACTTTATTGGTGCCTAAATATAGTACTGCTGGTTTAGTGTTTGGCCTTGAAGTACCCATCCAGTCATGATGATATTATGAATAGCGCAAAAGGAATGAATAGTTTAGACTTCCTCATTTATGCTTTTTGGTCCTTGTTAATTTGTTTTAGGTTCATACTGCAAAATTCATGTTTTGTCACATGTGATGACTTTTTCAATCAGTTCAAGATCTTCTGAAAAGCTTTCAATGATGTCAAAGCAAATGTTTTCCATGTTCCTTTATTGCTCACATGTCAGGTTTTTTGGTACCAGTTTTGCATAAGCTTTCGTCAAATGCAAATCCTCTGTAAAAAAATTTCTTATTGTCTGCCTGTCAATGCTCATAATATCTCACACCATCCGACCACTCCAACCTCAGTTTTCATGTATAATGTCACTCATATTCTTAATGTTTTCATCAGTTCTTGATGTCGCATGACAACCAGAATGTTCATTGTCATAAACAACCTGCCGACCTTCTAAAAACAGTTTGCACCATTTAGAAAAATTTTTATATGACAATTAATTATCTCAAAATCATTTAACAATTTAAAACATTCAGTTGCAACTTTTTTAATTTCACAAGGATTTTAAAAATAATGCGCTGCTCAAATTTTTAGCTGATCTTGATTGCAACACTTCAACACAATGTTTTACTCAAAAATAAAGACAAACTAAACTAGATAGACTACTAGATACAAACACCATGCCACCTACTATTCCAAACCACCTGCACCAAAAGCATCAAGTTCACCTACATTCTATTCACAAACCTCCACGCTAAGGCTAACAGCTAAGGTGTCTATAGCGTGGTTATTTAATTGTCACACCTCGTATTTAAACACAATTTTGATTTTTTAAAATACTCCTCTTTCAAAGGGACCTCTGCCCTATACAGCTATTCAATGAAAAATCTATTACTAACTGGATGTATATTTAATGATTACGTTTAAAACAATCTTTCAATGTAAGTAGGCAATTTTTGAAGTTTGTTTTAAAGTTTGAAAAAAAAAGTAATTTATGAAATAACCAATATTTCAAATTTTAATATTACTTTGTAGCAGTACTTTATTTACTTTGCGCAAGAGCTACACAATTCGCTATTTGTTGCATTCCGAGAAACATAGTTGTGTCAGAATACATGCTATCACAATTTTGATCCTCTGCCATACCCTCCAACTTATGAGGATTTTGAAAATAATTCTTTCTAGTGGTAGCGAACCAATGGAGAAATTTTTAAAGCAAATGGATCTCTCATAAAACTTTTATCAGAACTTAAGAATCTAGCCCTTAGGCCTGCATTTTTATAAGTCATAGTGGACAAGTTACGCTAAAATTAATTTTTTTAAAATATTAAGGCATTAATTTTGCTACCGTCTGAAAAGAAGATTTCTGAAACTACGGAAATTCCGTAGCAGTTGGAGGGTATGCTCTGCAGAGGGGATAACTTCGCTACTTTGGTAGCCTGACGATCAGCATGTGATTATTATTTCAGAAGATTATCTTTATCAAAAAATAGGTTGGCAATTTTTGAAAAACATATTTATAAATTTTTTTAATTTTATAGTTTAAGAGAATTTGTGTCTCTAAGAAAGCTGTTTAAGACTGCCATTAGGTCTTCAGGGGATTTTTGTCAATTCTAGAGTAGTAATGTATTGATCTCACTGTAAAGCAAGATATGGGAATTCGTTTTGTTTCATTATTAGATGAACAATCGTACTTAAGCTAACATTCTCAGCACAATAGTTTTATTTTATTTTTAGCGCATTACAATTTTTGTACTTTGCATTTTCAATAAAATATATCTTACCCATGTCTTGATTTTATTTCAGTTTGTATAAAACCAGTAATTTATGGACTTTAAGCAAAGCTGAATTCCAGATCAAACCTTTAAATCAATGGACCTGGAGAAATTACAATATAAGTTAGTAGTAATTATTCTTATTGTTTTAAAAAAAATTTGTCAGTAACCAAATGTAATATAAAAAAAAGACAGTCCCGGGAAGAAAATCTGCAAAAATATTCTGTTGTTAGTAATATTAATCACTAAGTGGGTGATAAATGTAGAAAAATTTCCTTTGCTAAATAATACAGCAATACTTATTTCTAAACACTGTATAATATGTATACAATAATGTATCGTCGAGCTGACGCTCGAAACATTTATTTCCTTTGTTGTTAGTTGATAATTCAACTCTCCTTAATTCAAAGTTTAACCTTAAATGTTAATTTTATGAACAAATGTAGACAGTATGTATTGTATATATTTCGCAGAATATTACTTATTCTAAATTAGAAAAATATATATACATATACAAAAAATAATGTGATTATCAAGGCACATTGGACATTTATGATGCCTTTGTTATTAGGCACCTAAGACTCTTTACTCTGGATTGTTTTATATGTTTTGTTAAATTGAATGTCATAATTTTAAAATTGTTTATTCATTTGATTTCTCTTTTAAGGAAAATCCCTTTTTATACAAACACAAGATACACCAAACCCTAACAGTCTGAAATTTATGCCTGGAATTCCAGTGATGGAGTCTGGAACTTTTGATGCACCAAATTCATCTGTAGCCAACAAATCCCCATTTGCTCGTCAGTTGTTTCAGATTGAAGGAGTATCTTCAGTATTTTTTGGTCCAGATTTTATAACTGTGTCTAAAGTAATGAAAATCCTGTTAAATGCTTCTTTCATATTATAATGACCCATCTGTTAAGTGAATATTATACCATTTGAAAAACTCTTTATTTTCTTTTTCATCTTCATTTTAAATTTAGATACAAATAAGTTCAGATGAACCATAAGGTATCGAATGCTGAAAAAATTATTTCAAAATACAGTCGGACCTCTATTTAACGAAGTCACTAAAACCTGATAAAAAGTTTGCTGTATGGAAAATTCGTTAAATAAAAAATCACCATTTGAAATACTTATGCAACTCAAAACAGGTTTTAAATTCATTAACACTAGACAGAATTAAAATAGTAATTGATACACCTTTGTATTGTAAATTATTATCTACTATCGAATTGTTTCAACTGATTTTAACATTTCATCATATGAAGGTTTGGTGATTTCTTCATCCTTTCCATCTTCATCTTCTTTGTCTTCCTCACAATTTATTTCTGTATTGTTTTTATTTTTCACGCTGTCCAAAATATCCGAATCAGCTAATGTTTCTGTGGTTGCAGCTTCAGAATCAATAAAAAGAAAATTACTAATCAGTACATCGTCATTAATTTAATTATTCTCTCTTAGCTGTAACCACATTTTTTTTTTAAAGTCCTTCTAAAGGAGTATCATCCTCGTCTACCGTACTTTCCAAATTTTCCGAGCTGACTAAGAATCCAGCTTTAGCAAAACTGTTACGAATAGTATGATCTGCAACATCATAGTTCCATGCCTTAGAAATTTCTGCCATGCTTTCTCGTGAATTGATTTTTGGCATGGATTCCTGTATGCAATGCAAACAAAAAGGGAAAGGGGTTTTACTGCTTTCTCTAAAAGTTATGTGGTTGCAAAAATCAATTCAAGGTCATTTTCCATATTCATTAACAAGTTTTAAATGTTCTGAAAATAGAGAAATGGGGAAAGTGGATCTCAAAGAAAATTTCATTAAATAAAAAAATTCTCTTCGCTATTTAGAAGTTATTTTATGAAGAAATTTCCAAAATGTTCTTAATTCCTCGAAAAAAATTGCAAAATTGAGAAATTCGTCAACTGGAAGTTTGTTAAATAGAAGTCCGAATATATAAGCAAATTATGCCAGGATTACTTTCCCACTGCATAATTTTGCTATAAATTGTTTGCATTTTGATATTTGTAAGCATTTAAAACTTAGTGGTTTATTCTAAATTCCAATGAACTCACTTTTTTCTATACAACAAATTTTATATTACTAATGGAGGTGAAGGAGAATTAGCTATAGCAAAGCGTCCTTTTAAATTTTTTGAATTGATTCTATCATCTCTTTTTAACAAATATTCTGAAACAGTTTTGTTACAAAACTACTATTAAGATAATAAGAGTAATGTATGTAATTGTATGTACCTTTTGAATGAAGTTGACTAACAAGTGCATGTTTCCACTCTAGCGTTTAAAAATTTTGGAACTTTCAAAATAGTTTGTTAATCATATTTTTCCAAATTCTATCATAATTTTATAAATTTCAATATCACAATTCAGTAAAATTTTAATAATTTGAGGCAATGTAAATAAATAGAATGAATTATGCTTCGTTCTATGATATAAAATTGTAAAAATAGCAAATAAAAGCAAGGAATGAACCTCTATTAAAAAATTCCTGGTTTTTATTGCCATCTTTAATATGAAAATATATATGAAAATTGAACTTTAATACTACAACTGATGGTAAGGAAAAATTTGGACAATTTGGAAGGAGGAAAAATTTTGCTTCAATTTTTTAAACAATAAAATCCTCCAATATTTAGAGCAGACCATTAATGCTCTATACACTTCCAGATTAAATTATGATAGCATGTTGGGTTATATTATTGTTTAATCAATGGTACAAAAAACAAATCATGATAAAGAGGAAAAAAATAAGTGGGATACTTTTTTTTTTCCAACTATTTTTTTGTGTAACAATGGAGAAAAGAATTCATATCTTTTTAGTTTCAATGTTCAAACGAGCACTTAAAATAAATTACATTTTAATATTAATATTTGAATTTATTTTGTTATTAAATTTATTTAAGGAAATATATATAAAAAATTGACAAATAAATTAAATATGGAATTAATCTTGGAATTGAAATTTTTTTTTGATAATCAAGAAAGGAAAAACTGATTCTGAGTAAATATGAATTTCAAGTTTTAAAACAAATATGTGCTTAAGCTGTTAATTTAAACTGAGTGAAATCATATCAAGTTATTATAAATTTAAGTTTTACACTTTTGAATAATAGAAATTTGACTTCATAATAAAAAGTGCTTGTTTTTGTTTTTTAACCATAAGCATAGCAAGAATGTGAATGTAAATTGCCATGTATTCTTAGTAATTAGTTTAATTGACATCTGGTCAACTTTAGTGTGATACAGTTATGATATATATGTGTTAATGAACCATAAGAAGTGTGATTTGCAATTCAGACTATTTTTCATATGGAATCATAATAAGAATTCATATCTAATCTAATGAAATATTTTAAAATTTTGTTTTTATAGAAGCAATAATTAAATATTTATTAGAAAATTTATAATTAATTAGAATGGAAATTAGTTTTTTGAAAAAACAGAAATAAAACTATCAATTAGGTTATAAGAACTTGTGAAACTTATGCTTAAAATGAAGAATTCATAATTTATGTGTCCATAAAAGGGATAATGCCTTCTCGTTATGAAATCACATAATGCTTCTTTCTATTCTAAAATATTACTTATACAGATGTTGTTTATGATCATTAAGGTATATTAATGTTTACTTGTTATAAAACTGTTGTATAAAAATTTATTGTTTTACTTAATAGACTGAATATTTGATTTGTAGGCTGATGACGATATTGAATGGAAAGTATTGAAGCCTCAAATATTTGCTACCATAATGGACTTCTTTGCAACTGGTCTTCCTGTAGTTACTGGTGAACAAGAAGCTTCTGATACTGGTACATTTCATTACTTATTTGCATAAAAATGCATTCAAAAGTTATTCTTTATCCCTTTATTATCTTTCTTGATTTGTTTTTGAGAAATAAATAAACATTATTACAAATCAACCACTATTTTAAAATTAAATGTAAGGGCAAAACTAAATTAAGAGGTTGCATGTTATATAAAGTCCCCTAAACATGTCATCAAAACTTGAAAAAGAACTTTTTTTTACATGTTTGTGCAAAAATGAAACATATAATAAATGCCTCAGAGATAGCTTAATGTTTCTTTATAGTAGGTATTACCTTCCTGTTAAAATATCATTAGAAAAAAACTGGATAACTTTCATAATAAAAATTTCATGCTTATTTTTATATTAGTTTCCAAAAACCTTTAAAAAATACTTCAAAATTATTACATTAGGTTCCAAGATTTGAGAATTTTTCTTTAATTACAAAATTTTTCTTTATCCTTTGATATTTAAATTTTTTGTTAAGAAAAATGTCTTTAACCAAAACATGTTCATAATAGATGTAGTTTACATGATTATTGAAAAATGACAAATGTAAGTAATTTATTAACATTAGAGAAATAACGGAGATGTTAGTTTTTTTCCTTCAGAGAAAAGTTTTAAAAACCAGCTACAATTTAGCTTTATTAAAGATGAAATTGTGTGCTAGAATTCAATTTTTTTCTTCTTTTACTTTGATTCTATTATATTTATATTTTTTTAATCATTATATCGAATTTAATGTACTTTATTTTTAAGACAAACTGATATTGTTCATTTCACTCTGAGAAATTGGCTTTTAAAATGTGGCCTTTAAAATTTGAGATAATTACCTGCAGATTTTTTCTTAAAAGGTTACATATCCCTAGTTATTGATTTTAAATATCATATAATTTTAAACATATTTTATGATTAATTTTAGTGTTAAAAAGGCTCTAATCTATACTTTAGAAAATTATATATCTCAAGATAGGTTATTGACATAAAAAAAAAGACATTTGATTGCTTAGTATATTTTAAAATTTACTGATTTCAAATTCTTTAAACTTCTGGTTTTTAAATGTGTTATAAAATGTGCATATTATTTCTTTAGCTTTTGATCCAGATGATGATGAAACTGTGCAAATGATTAAAGAACTGTTAGAGACTCGAATACGTCCAGTAGTTCAAGAGGATGGGGGTGATATCATTTATATGGTATTTGTCTCTTATATATATATTTTAAACTCTCATTTTCTGAAACATTGCTATACTTATTAAAATTCTAATCATTTATAAAAAAAATTCAACTTAGGAAAGAGAGCATTGCGTGCAATATACTTGAACTAATTAGTGCTTTAACTCTTAAACTATGATAGTAATTAACAATTTTCCACATATTTTAAAATAAATAAAAAAAATTTTGCTTGCAAATCCTTTATATGTAATTTCTTTACATATTTCTACCATATAATTTTAAGTTAAAATTACAAAATAAATAACTTATAAATTCACATTTTAAATTTAACTTACTATTTAATTTATGTTGACGAATGAATTTTGATGTGTAGAACAATATTTTTTTTAAACCTAAGAATAAATTTTTAAAATACAAAAGAAATTTTCTAAGAAATGTATTGTTACATAATTTTACAAGAAACTGAATGAAAACTAACTTAAAAGTAAGCACATTATCAATATAATGTAAATTTGTAGAACTAAACTAAAAAAAGCCATTTGAAAGGCTTTTAAAGAACATATTAATCATTCTTCTAATTCTATCAGCGTGCCAGCCTAGTACATGCCAGAGCCATCCCAACAAATCTGCCTCATTCAGATTCAAAGTTTCTCCATCTATTGATATTCATGGTTAACAAATCTTTTTCCACAGAACTGATCCATCTGGTGTTTGGTTTTCACCTTTTTTGGTTGCCTATAAACTTTCCAAAAGTCAGTTTCTTAACTGGGCCACCATCATCCTATCTATAGATGTGACCAAGCCATCTCACTCTATTGCATTTAACAACTGAAATTATGTTTGGTTGATTAAATTTTATCTATAACTCATAATTGTACTGAATCCTGCAAACATCGTTTTCTTTAACAGCTCCAAAGATATTTGATTATTTTTATCTGAATCATTGTATGTACTAAACATTTTTTAATGGCTACTTTATAATAATCTACTTTTCAATCATTTCTAATCACAATAGGGTTTTGAAGATGGAATAGTCAAGTTGAAAATGCAAGGTGCCTGCACTAGTTGTCCAAGTTCTGTAGTTACTCTGAAAAGTGGAGTTGAAAACATGTTGCAGTTTTACATACCAGAGGTGAAAGGAGTTCTTCAAGTAAGTTAATTAAACAATAAAAGCTTTATATTATTTTTTTTAAAAAATACTTTATTTTTAATAATTCTGTACAAGTTATCCCTAGATCAATGTCAAGCACAAACAAAACCACACATACTAACTATTCTACCTTCATCTAGAGACCCATTGCTGGCTGATTTGTTTTTAAAACAAATAAATTAACAAAGTTATGAATTAAATCTGCTAAAANCTAGATCAATGTCAAGCACAAACAAAACCACACATACTAACTATTCTACCTTCATCTAGAGACCCATTGCTGGCTGATTTGTTTTTAAAACAATCAGCCAGCAATGATAGAATTAACAAAGTTATGAATTAAATCTGCTAAAATCTAGGATATATTTTAATATTTGATTTCAAGCTAAAATTTTTTAGTAATATTATATATATATCAAGTCACAAAATTTCAAATTGTCGTTGGCAACCAAATATTAAGGTTAAATACTAAAATTTAATTAATATTAATTAATAATAATTATTGGAGCATATGAAGTTTGATCTTGTTTCTTTCAGCTTTCATGATGATAAACTTTACTGTATTTAATCATTCTGTTTATAATTTGTAGAATCTTGGAATTAGAAGAAAAAAATTGTTTTTACTGTCAAAATGTGGCAATCAATTGTAAAATATGATAATTATCAGTTGCTTAGTTACTCATTGAATACATTTTTAGTACTACTTCAGTGAATCGATAATAATCTGTCAATAAAAGGAATAGCTTTCGTAAAGTGTATTCTAGAAATAGTGCATATTTAGATCTGTATCTATTATAGAGCTATCAACAAATATGATTTGCATGAAGTTTAATGAAAACAGAGTAATTCAAAACAATCTTTAAAAAACATTTTCAATAGAATTATAGCACAGAAAATTTTAGAATACAGAAACTTCAGCAAGAAGTTTATCTATAATTCTGAAATACTATTCAAATTACAATAATTTTTTCCTTCGAGTTTTAACTAAATACTTCATTCAAAATATATTAATTAAAAATGCTTATAAGACTTATTTTGATGCAGGTAACAGATGAAGTAGATGCAATAGCTGAAATAGAATTCAAAAAGTTAGAAGAAAAACTAGAAAAAACAGATAAATAGCTTTATTTTTCAACAATTCTGTAAATAGATGTACATTATATTTAAATAAAGTTGATATTTATTTCACTGTTTAATATAATTTTGTGATTACAATAAATAAATAAAAACTGTCCTAGTTGACATATTTGTATATGAATAAAGTTTATTGGTGTAAGTAATAGAACATAGAGATGCCAACATTTAATAAAACTTTTGTTTAATATTAAATGAAAATTCAAAATGATATTTAATGCATCCAAGTTGTCATCCATACAACATTTAAAGAAATGAAAAAATTTCTAATTTTTTTATTACTTTGATATGGTACAAAATACTTAGATACAAGTTTTGTTTCTTATCAAATTTGGAAAAGAAATATAAGTTATAATTGCATGAAAGTCAGAACAAAAATCATATATGTTGTATATTTTCAAATGAAATGAATTTTGAGAAAATTGTCAAAGAAATAAAGAGTGCAGTGCAAAAATAACAATGAACTTTATTAGAATATTCTGGAATTGAGAACTATGTATAATGTTTTCATAAAGCAATATGAAATATTAAAAACAGATATTTTTAAAATACATAAGAGTTAATATCCATGAAAGCAAAATAAATGAGATTCATTTGAACATTCTGATTCAATGCTGTTTACTTATTATGATATCATTAGGTTCACTCGACGATTAAAAACATTCAGTACAAAAAAATATATTTACACACGAAAAATGCAAGAAGCTCATTAAAACAAATTTATGGTATAAAAGTACTGGTAACAATAAGTATATGGATTTATTTGTTGCATTTTCAAAGTTCTGAATGCTTCTGAAGAATACGGCCGGTCAGGTCCTTTTGGATCTTTTCAACCTGAAATTATAATGTTTTATTTTAAAGTTAAACAATAGAAACTCAGTTAATGTATAAAAACATTTATATTAATTCAGATTTTCAAATTATAAAAAATAAAATAAGTTACTACTTCACAGTTTGACAGAATTACATACTATTTTGGATCAATGAAAATAAACACTGCTCTACAAGTTAGAACTTTTTTTTTTTTTTGCATTAGACTAGTAAATGTGCACCCATAATTTTGGGAAGCTAAATTCAGTGTAAATTACGTTAATTCACAACGCGTTTTCTAGATATATAGAGATGATAAAGTATAGGCAATGGGTGTACAAAGTTGACTAACTTACAATGTTGCTGGTCATAAAATGATAGAGTTTTAACTCCCTTGACCATCATAAACTGTCATCGAGGTATTTAATTTTTAAAAAAAAATTAAATTATGCTTGTTAACAACTCATTTTAGTGCCATTTTAGCTTTGAAAAGAGAAAAGTGTGAAATATAAATAATTTGAAATAATTCTCTGTAAAACACCTTAAAATCTTAAGATGATAGATGATTTTATTATGCTATTTCAAAATCTACCCAAAAAATACATAAATTCTACATTACAAACCAGATATAAAATGGTTCTTGAGTAGTTTAATTTAATAAAAACAAAATGCGAAAATAAATTTATTTTAATGTTATATTGTTTGTTTGTTTTTTTAATAAAATCTATAGTTATTGTAATCAAATTTTAGTTATTATGTTTAAGATATTGTTTAGTATGAGTCATGAATTCTTTTCAAAATTAGATATTTTATTGCTTTTTTTTTTTGTAAATAAAAAAAAAATTTAAAAAGTTAAACATTTATAGAAACTGTTATAATTGCTTTGTTCTAATTAATCTTAAACAGAATACCAATATTTCCTTTGTGCATTTTCAATATATATTATTTATATGTGCTGATCTATCTAGCAGAATTACAGCACATTTTTACATTTTAAAAATTATGTTTCATAAAAATATAGAAGATAAATTACTTTGTAGCCATAATCTTTTAACTTCTTTTTTCTCTTGGCTGCAATTTCCACAACATCATTATCATCGTCGAGTTCAAGAGCTGTTAGTGTCTTCAGTTTTTTTATTCTATGTTCAAAATGATGTAGTTCTTTCTGAAAGAGTTATATAGTGTGTGTGTTTGATTAAAAATTCCCACAAAATTGAAAATTATGCGTGCTTTCAAAATTATAATTCATGTAGAAAATTCATGTTCAAAATTCATGTAGAATTTCAAATTTTATACTAAGTATTGTATTTACAATAGTTTTATGCAATTTAAATGTTTTTTTTTTATAAAGCACATAAATTTATATTTTTCAACCAAATTTTAAATAGAATAAGCATGAAATGTTCATTCTTATTTAAAATTGAAATTTGGATCTGCAAAAATGGAAATTTGCTCAATTTACAGCAACACACAAAATAAAATACTGATTTATGACAATACACTTGTTAATGTTTTGCATTCTAAATTGATATCAATCATACTCATTTGCAAAGTTACAATAATACATTTAGCAAACACAGTAAAATTTGCATTATTTACACTACACTGAGACAATAAATTACAGTTGGTCAAGGTTTCCACTCAATTTTAGAAATAAAATTCCCTTACTTTACAAGGAAATTTTCAACAATATTCCAGATAACATCTTCGCTATACACAGTAATAATTCATCAGAAATATAATTCTTTTCATTCTATACGCAATTAAATTTACTTTTTGATAGAAAATGTTTGAAATATTATATTTAAAACACTTTAGGTAGATTTTAGAATATAACACTATGTAAATTATATACAAATGCAATGCTTTGAAGAAAAAATTTTAAATTCAGTGAAACATAATTTATTTATAGAATCTCATTAGTAAAGTAAACCAGACATCATAGACCTTACTTACGATTTAAGAAATAAAACTAATTTATACAAAAAGCTCAATTTTAACTAACATAGCATTATTGAAATGCATTATATTTAAGAAGAAATTTGAAACAAAATGATTAATATTTATAATTTTGGTTAATCTAAAAAGCACAATTTTTACAAGAAATAATAAGAATAGATGTTAAAATTATTTACTTTGAACCTCATAGGCTGCTTATTGTTACTGTGTATTTTGAAATAGTTATTTTCCAGATTTATTGCAAAATTTTTCCAGGTTTCAACCAAAACCTGCATTATTCCTCAAAAATTTCCTAACTTGCCCTCCCTCAAATGAAATTCTCTGACAATTCCAGGTTTTTTTGACCTATTGGAAACCTTTATAGTAGTATTAAAATTAAACTCTGACTGCTCAATTTGTGAACCAAAAACGCTTAAAAAAATAAATTTTTTTTGTGCATATTTTAAATCTATATACTGGAGTTATATGTAAATAGACATTTTTTCTTTCTAGAAAAGATTTTTTAAGTAGATTTTTATTATGAGAAACTAAACTCAGTGGAGCGACAGCACATATAGAGGGCCAAGGCCTACTGTGCCCATTTCAGTTTTCTTGGGCTCAGGGTGCAAGAACAGACGTTATGGTTAGGTGGTAAGCCGAACGCGAAAACCCCAGTGTTTAGTTCTCAAGCATAATTGGTACTCATTTATCGACCCACTGAAGGGATGACAGGCTGAGTCAACCTTGCCCGGCACGAGGATCAAACCGTGTGTCACGGGAGCGCGAAGCGCTACCACTCAGCTACCGGATGTCATGAGAAACTAAGCTGTGAGATAAACCAACACTTTGCAATTTTAATGCAAGTTAACAGCTTTGCAAGTTTATTGAATCATGATCAGATTATCACCATCTAAGGAGCAGTCCGAAAAATCTATATCACTATCAAAACTAAAATCATTCTCAGAATCTGATAAATAATCAAGAATATTACTTAGATTAGATAGCCCTAGACTTATATTAGATACTTTTGATTAGAAGAAGGGGACAAACATAGTTAAACTAGAGCAATAAATACCAAGTACCTACAAATGCCGCAATTTAATGAAAGTGTTATGACATCTGTTGGTCAAAACCTAAGTTAAAAGTTTAATACCTGTAAATAATTTATATCATTGGTTAAGCGGTGAAAAGACAGGGTGTGCTCCTCAGTAAAGAAAGAAAAACGCACGTGAAAGTCGTGGGATGGGCTAATTTTGTTACATTTGAATTGCTCGTGGAAATCGAGAGATAAACAGACAGAGGAGTAATAACATAATTTAAATGTACTAAAAACGCTGTTTCATTTCAGTTTTAGCTTCATTAACAAAATACATATAATAAATACTTTTTGAATAATAAATTAAGTACCTTTAAACTTTCAAGTTCTTGCTGAGAGAAGCTAGCATTTTTTGCCATCTCCCATAAACTATTCACTTGAGGCTCTTCAAATTCTGTTTTCCTTATATCGGGCATTATTCGTGTGTTTAGGAAATCATAGCCTACTTTGAGTTCAATGTGCTTGTCTTTTAATACCTGATGAGGGTTATCAGTTTTCCACACTTTTTCACTCACTTCTGCATGCAGAACATGCTCTACTGCATTCCCATGATTTTCTAAAATATATACAAGTGTAATTTTGTAGGACAAAATGAATATCAAGGAAATTAAGAATAGTTCACTTTAATGACAATGCACTCAAATGCTCTAGACCAGTGATTCTCAACCTTTTTTTTGTTGCGGCACACTTTTAACGATTTCGAAATTTGACGGCACAGTGAAAAAAAATAGATTAAAAGTTGTTTAATTACCTATTTTACACTGCGTTAAATAGTTTGTGATAATAATTTTGAATGTGAAATAAAATAATATGTACTACAAAAGCA